CCACACTGAGGTGGTGTCCCACATGCCAGAACTAGAAGGACCCACAACTGAAATATACAACTGTGTACTGGGGGGGGCATTTGGGGAGAAAAAGCAGAAAAAGGAAAAAAAAAAGATTGTCAGCAGTTGTTAGCTCAGGTACCAATCTTTAGGGGGAAAAAAACCAAATCTCTAGGGGGGACTCAGTCATAGGGACTTCCACAATATTGTGAGATTTACCTCCAGGAGCTCAACCAGGTTCCCACAGTACATATCAGAGGAAAATCTCCTCTTGCTTCCATCAGGGGAAGGGAAAAAGGAATCATTTTGAAATATAGAAGATTCTGTTCTTTTTAACAAGGCTTGCCCTTGGAGGAAACTAGTTAACCAGAGCCTAACCTGCTGGAATATTATCAGAGCTTAACTGACCTGGAGGAAGTGAAATACCCACTCACTTCATCCTATCCCACTTAAAGAGGGAGGAAAAGAACTGAGAAACTCTTGTGAAGTTCACAGTTCAGAGGCATAGGCTCACTAAAAGAATGAGACCTAATCACAGGACTGTAGAATGCTTCCCCTCCTCTCACACCTTGCCACATTACTAAAAGCTTGTTTATAGCAGTTCCTTTTACCTAGTACATCATGTCTAGCAATCAAGAAAAAATTAGAAGGCATACCAAAAGGCAGAAAACACAATTTGGAGAGACAGAGCAAGCATCAGAACCAGACATGGCAGGAGTATTGGAATTATCAGACTAGGAATTTAAAACACCTATGATTAATATGCTGAGGGCTGTAATGGGTAAAGTAGACAGCATACAAGAGCAAATGGGCAATATAAGCAGAGAGATGGAAATCTTAAGAAAGAACCAGAAAGGAATTTTAGAGATAAACACCCTGACAGAAATGAAGAATGCCTTTGATGGGCTTGTTAGTAGATTGGACATGTGAGGAAAGAATCTCTGAACTAAAGTATATCTCAATAGAATCCTCGAAAACCAAAAAGCAAAGAGAACAAAGACTGAAAAAAAGCAGAATAGAATATCTAGGGACTGTGAGACAACTACAAAAGGTGTAACATGCATGTAATGGGAATACCAGAAGGAGAAGAAAGAGAGAATGGAACAGAAGAAATATTTGAAACAGTAATGACTGAGAATTTCCCCAATTAATGTAAGACACCAAACCACAGATCTAGGAAGCTCAGAGAACACCAAGCAGGATAAAAGCCCCCCTAAAATGACACCTAGGCCTATCATTTTCAAATTACAGAAAATCAAATATAACAAAAAAAATCTTGAAGCCAGAGGAAAAAATCACCTTGCCTGTAAAGGAACAACAAAAAAATTTATTCCGTCTAATTTCTCCTCAGAAACCATCCAAGTCAAAAGAGTGGAGTGGAATATTTAAAGTGTTGGGAGCAAACCTCACCAACCTAGAATTTTGTACCCTGTGATTATCCTTCACAAATGAAGGAGAGAGAGACTTTCTCAGACATACAGAAATTGAGGGAATTTGTTGGCAGTAGACCTGCCTTAAAAGAAATTCTTTAGAGAGATGGAAAATGATATAGATCAGAAGCTTGGAAACCCATAAAGAAAGAGCATTGAAGAAGGAATAAGTAAGGTAGAATAAAAAAACTCTTATTGTTTTTATTCTTAATTGATCTACCATAACAATTTGTTCAAAATAATAATAGCAATGGTGAATTTGATTGTGTATGCTTATGTATATATCTTACGTGTATGTGTATATGTATATATACATATATGCTTACATATAAGTGAAATGAATAACAGCAATAATACGAGGGATGGGAGGGAGGAATTAGAATTATTTGGTTATAAGGTGTTCACACTACCTGTCAAGTGGTACACTGTTATTTGAAAGTGAACTTGGATTAGCTGTACATCTATATTGCAAACTCTAGGCTAACCACTAAAAAAGGAAAAAAAAGAAGTATAACTGATATGTTAAGAAAGGAGAGAATAGGAATCAGGTAAACTGCTCAAAAAATTATAAAATGCCTAAAACCACAAACAGCAGAAAAAGAGTGGAAGACAAAAATAAGAATAAAGAACAAGGACAATAAATAGTAACAGTAACCAATATGGTAGTTATTAATCCAACTATGTCAATAATCACTTTGAATATTGATGGTCTAAATGCACCAATTAAATGACAGATTATCAGAGTGGATCAAAAACCAAGATCCAACTATATGTTGTCTACAAGAGATCTACTGTAAATATAAAGACACATAAAGTAAATGGACAGAGAAAAAAACAACAAAAAACCACATAATATGTAATCTACCCTGTTAAATTTTTAAGTGTGTACAGTACAGTATGTTAACAATATGCACATTGTTGTATAGCAGATCTCTAGAACTTTTCATCTTGCATGACTGTGAAGGTCTCTATCCGTCGAACAGCAGTTCCTTGTTTCTCCCTCCCCCAAGTCCCTGGCAACCATCTTCTACTTTCTGCTTCTATGAATTTGACCACTTTAGATACCTCATGTAAGTGGAATCATGCAGTATTTGTCCTTCTATAACTGGTTTATTTCACTTAGCATAATGTCCTCAAGGTTCGTCTATGTTGTCAAGTATGAAAAGATTTCCTTCTTTTTTAAGGCTGAATAATGGTTGTATACATATACCTCATTTTCTTGATCCATTCATCTGTCGATGTACATTTAGGTTGTTTCCATCTCTGGGTATTGTGAGTATGCTGCAGTGAGCATGAGAGTGTAATTACTCTTCAAGATCCTGTTCTCAGTTCTTTTGGATAAATACCCAGAAATGGGATTCCTGGATCATATGTTAGTTCTATTTTTAAATTTTTTGAGAAACCTCCATACTATTTTCCATAGTGGCTGCACCACTTTACATTTCCACCAACAGTGGACAAGGTTCCAATTTCTCCACATCCTTGCCAATACTTGTTAATTTCTGTTTTTTGTGTTTTTGTTGTTGTTCTATAATAGCCATGCTAACAGGTGTTTAGTGATATCTCATTGTGGTTTTTATTGACGTTTCTCTTATGATTGAGCATCCTTTCATATGCCAGTTGGTCATTTGTATGTCTTCTTAGGAGAAATGTCCGAGTTGTTTGCCCATTTTTAAAATCAGGTTACTTGTTTTTTGTTAAGTTGTAAGAGTTCTTTATGTATTTTGGGTATTAACCCCTTATCACATATATGATTTGCAGATATTTTCTCCTGTTGCATAGGTTGCCTTTTCACTCTGTTGATTGTTTCTTTTGCTGTGCAGTTGTTTTTTAGTTTGATATGGTCCCACTTGTCTGTTTTTGCTTTTGTTTCCTGTGCTATTGGTGTCATATCCAAGAAATCATTTCCAAATCCAATGTCCTGAAACTTTTCCCTTGTATTTTCTTCTAGGAGTTTCATAGTTTCAGGTGTTACATTTAAGTCTTTAATCCATTTTGATTTAACTTTTGAGTATGGTGTAAGATAAGAGTTCAATTTCATTCTTCTGCTGTGGATATCCTGTTTTCTCAGCACAATTTGTTGAAGAGACTGTCCTTTCCATTATGTAGTCTTGGTACCCTTGTTGCAGATCATTTGATCAGATGTGCATGGGTTTATTCTGGGCTTTCTGTTCTGTTCCATTGGTATCTATGTCTGTCTTTATGCCTCTTCTATACCGATGACTGTAGCTTTGTAATATGTTTCCAAGTCATGAATCATGTGGCCTCTAGCTTTGTTCTTTCTCAAGATTGTTCTGGCTATTTGAGATCCTTTGTAGTTCCATGTGAATTTTACGATTTCTTTTTCTATTTCTGCAAAGAATGCCATTGGGATTTTGATAGAGATTATGTTGAATCTGTAGATCACATTGGGAAGTATGGACATTTTAACAGTATTAAGTCTTCAGTCAACAAATATGGGATATCTTTCCATTTATTTGTGTCTTATTTAATTTCTTTCAGAAGTGTTTTATAGTTCTCAGTATACAAGACTTTTGCCTTTTTGGTTAAGTTTATTCCTAAGTATTTTATTCTTTTTGATGCTACTGTAAATGGCATTGTTTTGTTAATTCCCCTTTCAGATTGTTCGTTATTATGCTTCAAATATTTTGATGCTCTTATGTTGGGTGTTTATATATTTATAATTGTTATATCTTCCGGATGAATTGACCCTTTTATCATTATACAATGTCCCTTGTCTCTTGTGACAGTTTTTGACTTAATATTTATTTTGTTTGATGTAAATGTGATCACTTCTGTGCTCTTTTGGTTACTATTTGCATGGAATATCTTTCTCCAGTCTTTCACTTTCATCCCATGTGTGTCCTTAAATCTAAAGTGAGTATCTTGTAGACAGCATATAGTAGGATCTTGTTTTTTTAAAATCCGTTTAGCCACTCTCTTTTGATTGGTGACTTTAATCCGTCTGCATTTAAAGTAATTACTGATAGGGAAAGACTTACTCTGTTGATTGTTAATCGTTTTTGTCTTCTTATCACTTTTTGTCACTTTTTCTCTCTCTTTTCTTCACTTGTGTTACATTGTTTTTTTTCTTTTTTGGTAGTGGCTTGTTTTGATTCCTTTCTCATTTCCTCTTGTGTATCCTCTATAGGTGTTCTCTTTGTGGTTACCAGTGGTCTTACATAAAACATCTTACAGTTTTAACAGTGTATTTTAAACTTAACTTAACTTCAAAAACTCTGCTCTTTTACTTCTCTCCCTCCCTGCCACACTTTGTTATCAGTGTCACAAGTTACATCTATTTATATTGTGTATCCATTAACCTATTTTTGTAGTTATTTTTATGCTTTTGTCTTCTAACTTCTATAGTAGAATTAAAAGTGATTGTTTTAGTTTCTTTTTATTTTTAAGTTGTATTTAGAAACCATTTGTAGAGTTTAACATTTGTTATATATGTTTTTGTGATAAAATTCTGAATTTTGTTATGTTTAAAAATTATTGAAAATCTTTTTCGTGATAAACTTGTATGTAAGTTGAATAAATCTAATAAACTTTTTCTTATTTAAACAGAATTCTGAGACTGATGGTCAGCCATATAGAAGAATACATTGAACCTGTAGTTTTCTGAAGAAACAGTTCAAAAGAACCAAAAAATACAAAAGGTAATGAGAAAGTTGTACCTTAGAACCACACTTTGGAATGACATTTTTCCAGAAGAATATATAAAGGAATCCATAAACTATTTTGACACACTAACTTGAGGAAAGTTTCATTAAAAAATTTTTCCTGTTGTATTAATTTACCCGAAAACATTTATTGTGCCAGCTATATTCAGATACTATTTTAGATACTAGGAATAAGACGCAAGCTATCTCTGCTTTCATGAAGATTGCATTCTAAAGTGAGGGAGGACAAAAAATAAACAAACAAATGAAAAATTTGTGGTTAGTTCTATGCAGAGAATTAAAATAGATAATGTGATAGAGACTGGTGACTGCAGAAAAGCCCTCGTTGAAGAAGGATATTGCACTTGAGATCTGAGTGGCAAGAATGTGCCAGTCCTGTGAAGATCTGAGAGGGGAGATTTATAGGCAGTGAAACAAAAAATGACCATGGAATGCTTGAGGAACACAAAGAGAAAATGTGGCTGGAATATAATAAGTGAGGAGAAGAGTTTATGGAGTTTAGATTGGAGACGAAAACTGGGAGAGGAACAAATTTACAAAGTCAAGTGTTCTGTTTTGCTATATTTTAGACACCTGTAAAGTCTGTAGAAATATCAAGAAGGTAGTTGGATATATGACTCTGAAGTTAAGAATCTGGTCAAGGGGAGTGGATTTGGGAGTCACTGGCATAGAGAGATACTTAGAATTATGTCTGGATGAAATTATCTAGGAAGTGTACATAGTTTGAGAAGGATTTGGTCCTGGGACATGGCAATATTAATTAGAGGAGAAGGAGCAGCCAGCGAGTTGGGTGGAAAAGCAGGAAAGCGTTCTGTTACAGAAGTCAAGAAAAGAGAAATATGTTATAAATGCAGAATGTGGTCACTTCCATCACATGTTACTAAGAGGTCAAATAGAGAGTAGAGTAAAGCAGCCATTAGATTTGACAACATGAATGTCACCAATAACTCTAATAATAGTGAACAATCTCATTGGGAGTAGGTGAGGATGAAAGCCTAATTAAAATTGATGAAGAGAGAATGGGAACTTCCAATTAAGATGGCAAAAAATACAATTAAATTTTGTTTCCTCTCAAAACTCCATTAAAGCTAAAGTGAAAAGATTTTTTCACAAAAGACATAGCTTCATAAGAACAAATAGAGTGGGAGAGGAAACAATTGCAACAAAATTTTGGAACCTGAAAAGCAAAAGGAAGTGTGGTAACTGTCTTGTGGCATCTAGAATCCTGAGAAACAAACTTCATGGCACTGTGAAACCTCTAAAATGTTCGGGAATTGACAGCACTCTCTACTTCTGCCTGAAGACTGAGGATGGGACAAAAAAGAGGATGATTTGTTGCACACCTGTGTAAGAGGTGATTATACGCCATAGATCCTTTTCCTGACTTTGGAATCCCAGGCAACTAACTTCCCCTTCCCTGTCTCAGCAGAAGACTGGAAATTTATTCTCTAGCAAGGATAAAAGTAGAGGGGCACCAAACACAGTTTATAATGGGGGCACATATTGAAAATAGGGGGTTTAAGAACCTAGGCTACCAGATTTTTATAATTTTCAGTCAATGGTTTAGAAGATTCTTCTCTGGAAATTATAACCAGCCAAAGAGAAAAGATCTGAAAATACTGACATTAAGAATTCCTCCAAAGAAGTATTCCAGCATGAGATTCCTGCAGTAAAGTTCCTGGTCAGCAAGCCCTATCACATAGAGCCTCAGTGATGTTTATGAGCCTGTGGCCAGAGATCACTAGATATTTTAGGAAAGCCTGTTATGTGAGAGTCAAAGACCAAACCCAAAGAGAAAATACCAAGTGAGAGGAAATGGAGACCAAGTAGGCAGGTAAAAATGGAAACAAACACAAACTGTCATTTAATAGTTTCAGAGAGGTAGGAGGAGATGCTAAATCCATGAAACATGAAAGAGAAACAATAAGAGATGAAATTAGCAATGAAAAACTCATTGGAAGAGTTGAAAAATAAAACTGATCTATTGAAAGTAAAGCAAAGAGAAAATGGGAGAGAAAATTGGAGCAACTGCTCAGGATCTCCAATGTTGAAATCACAGGAGGTCCAGAAAGGGAGAATAGAGGAAATAGAGAGGAGAAATAGAGAATAATTCAACAAAACTCTCCAGAATTAGAGGACACAAGTTTTCAGGTAGAAAGTACCTGTAGAGTGACCAAAAGATATGAAAGTAAGTCCAAAATAGGACATATGACTGTTAAATTTTAAAACATAGGGAAGCTTCCAGAACTAGAGAAATAGCAGGGCAAATATAAAGGATCAGTAATCAGAATGACTTTGGACTTCTTGATACCATACTGGAAAATAAACAATGGAGCCTTCATAATTTTGAGTGAAAAATGATGTCCAACCCAGTATTCAGTATCTAGCTAAACTGTTAAGGATTAAGGATAGACTAATGACAGTTTCAGACTTGTGATGTCACAAAAAAATTTATCTGCCATGTCCCCTTTCTTGGTCAGTTATTATAGGAGGTACTCAACAAAAATAAAGAAGTAAACTAAAAAAGGTAAAACCATAGGATACAAGAAAGAGGGAATGCAACTTAAGTAGAGACCCAGGAAATCACCAAGAAGATAGTGTATAGCGATCACAGATGGCAGCTTGTCACCAGTTATAGAGAGTGTCCACTCCCAATAGAAGGTGCCAAGAAAAATACCTGTGAGAAGATTAAATTGGTAGAATGTGTACTATTTTTAGAAAATATTGAGAGTAGATTTAGCCTGGGAAGAGTTTGGGGCTAAATTGGTGATAGGTATATAGACAACTAGATAAATAATAAAATAATTATTAACTACTCAGAAAAGGAAGGTAATTGTATATGGCTCGGCTGTGAATTACATTTACAGTCATAATAATGTTAACTCTGAATATAATCACTTAGCCAAAATTATGATTTTGGGAATTGGGCAAGTCTGCATGTGTATGAGGTAAGGATGAGTAAATCAAAGAGAGCTAAATTCTTATTTTTCTTAGAATTAGAAACTTTTTTTTTTTTTTAAAGATTTTGTTTTTTCCTTTTTCTCCCCAAAGCCCCCCAGTACATAGTTGTATATTCTTCGTTGTGGGTCCTTCTAGTTGTGGTATGTGGGACGCTGCCTCAGCGTGGTTTGATGAGTAGTGCCATGTCCATGCCCAGGATTCGAACCAACGAAACAACTGGGCCGCCTGCAGCGGAGCGCACAGACTTAACCACTCGGCCACGGGGCCAGCTCCAGAATTAGAAACTTTTGAGAGCAAAAGGAGACAATTTTAATAGTTACCCTGGGACAACTCAGATGCATTGGGACTGTGTAGGCAGCCTGCCAAAAACAGAAACAATCAGGTAACAAAATAAAGGATGTTAGAGATAGGGTGTTAACTACCAAAAGAAACAGTTAAAGAGATGAAAGTGGTGGAAAATGGGAAATGAGCATCAGAGGCCTTCTGATTTTTTAATGAGTCTTATAAAACTATTTGGACACTTTAAACTTTGAATATGTACTACATTGGTGAAAATAAACACCAAATTTTAAAATGAGAGTGAATGGTATTAAAGACATTGAAACAGCAACTATACTCAACTCTGACAAGCAGTTTTCCTGTGAAAGGGAGCAGAAAAGGAGGGCAGTACCTGAAGCAGGTTGATAGGTCAAGGGAGGGTTTGTTTTGTTTGTTTTTTAAGGTAAAATCCTGAACTGTTGGTCGGAATAATCCAGTTTAGAGGGAGAAATTTGTAATGTAGGAATGGAAAGCCTTGAGAGGTGACAGCAGATGGAATTCACAGGAGAAGTAGTATCATGTCGTTAGATACAGCACAGTTTATTTTTAATGCAGAATGTGTTGTTTTATGTATAAGGGTTCTTTTCTAAAGATGGACTGCAGGCACTGAGATTTTCTGTTAATTATGTGTGATGTTGCATGCTGAATTAAAAACATATCAGCTTCTGTATTTGGCTAGTTTGAGCTGTTTATAAAGTTTCTTAGTGGCAATATCTTCCCATTTAATAAATATTTTTTAAAGCTTGTTTTTAAAATATTTATAGAAGACTTATGCTGTCCTTGCCCTCTGCTGTCATAAAATACTAATGTGGTGCTCACCCGCTGGGAAGTCATATCACTGAATGACTTTGAGCCCAAGTTGCTTATGCAAAGGAGCATTTGATTCCCAGCTGTAACTCGATCCTTTATAGTTTAATTTGTGAACTTTGGACTCCAGTGACAGTAACTGATCCTTTCAAAGATTATTGCATGCCATACTGGCCTAGTAATATCAATATTTAAAAATAAGAGACTTTTAATAATAAGATTTAATCTATATTAGATTATATACTTGAAATCCCTTGCTGTGTGTAGGGACATTGCGTGTCTTCTAAAACTGAATCCTTAGAATCCATAGCACGAGCAAGTGTGATTCTGGCTAATCTTTTTTATACTGAAAGCGTGAATCTTAGGGTAGTCCCCAAACAAGATCTTTTGGCTGTTCCCCCATTACCGCTTTGTTTTGTTAAAATTAATTAGACACTAAAGGAGTTAAGAGGAATCTTCTCACAAATACTCTAGAGGACATAGTCGGGCCTATTTCACTTCTTCTCTTATCTGTCCCTTAAATATGGCAAACCTGTCAGTTGGCTGGAAGAGTAGAGAAAAGGTCTTGACTAGACTATTAGAGATACAGTCTTCTGTTGTCCAGTTATCTGGACAAAAAATAATGTTTGGGAAAATATTGTTAACAACAGTAATAAAATAGGCTGTCAGTCTGTATCTTCTAAATCATTTTGGATTCACTCTTCTTAGAGTCAGGATGGCCCTTCCTGTAGTCTAAGCCCTAATTCTTGGGGTCCTCTTTTTTTTTTTTTTTTTGCTTTTTTACCCTACCTCTTGATAATTAAACAAGCATATACTTGGTGCCTTATAAGGCTCAGATCTGGCCTTTTAACTTTAAGCTGAAACTATTCTTTCTAAATTCACCCTAATTGGCTCTGTTACCTTTGCACTGTTCTTTTTGTTCTAGTGATAGAACCAACCTGTTAGTACCATGATGATAAGTATGTCTTTTGGACCAGAGGGTTGTACTTAGCTGATCTTTAAAGTCTCTTCTAACTCTAAAGTACTGTAATTCTGTGTTTCATCTGCTAATGTTGACCCAGACACTTAAAATCAGTATTTTATCCTAGTGCTAGTTCTTTTTATTTTTCCCTCTGACTCCCCTGCTCATTTTCTTTTAAGAATTCTTAGCCCTTCACACTCCCACTTCTGCAGCCATAACCTCAAGGCAATGTAGCATCATTTATCAACGGTTACTCTCTCTCCCTCTCATGAATGTACATTTGAAAACAATGATAGAATATTTTAGAATCTCGGGTTGTGAGAACACCTTTACTCTTCTCTGGTTTAGTTAGAGTTATACATTATACTATTTTCTAAATTTTAAATCAAAATTATAACAGTTAAAGTAGAATGTCTTGTGCCTCAAAACTGTTGGATACTTACTAGACTTAAGGTGGTTATTTAATATTTAACTCATAACTATAGAACGTAAGTATATTGTGTGGATAAAACCTGCCTTATACTTTAGAAAAACTGTATAGAATATAGACGAGACAAATATTAGGCTTATGATTCAGTTTTAAAGTAGTAAATTTTAATTCCTTGATGTAGGTATGAGACTCTTTTTAATAAGACTGTTCTATACTTGACTTGCCTTCACTCCTCTACCATTCTTATTCTCACTTTATGCTCTAGTAGTTAAAACTTTTAAGTTGTAACCTGCCTAGATTTTCTCTAAAGAACATGCTGAACTCACTCTTAAGTTTCTCACATATGTTGCTCTCTTATCTTATTGTGGTTTAGAATCCTTTCAGCTATTACCTGTCTTGTCCTCTAGTCTGTTATTTCTCAAACTTAAATGATCGTACAAATCACATGGGGACCTTGTTAAAATGTAGGTTCTGATTCAGTAGGACTGGGGTGGGGCCCAGGATTCTCTGTTTTAACAAGCTATCATTGATGCCAGTGCTGATGGTGTCTGGACCATATTTTCAGTAACAACAATCTAGATTACCTGACAACTCATTGTCATCGAGAATATTTCCTGTGACTCCTCCCTGTATACCTTTGTTACCACTTTTATTATAATTATTTAGGTATCTATCTCCCTATTCAATTGCGGTTTTTTGCCTTCAGAGACTGTCTTTCATCCTTTTATCCCCAAACTTAGCATACTGTTTAACAGAAAATAGGATTTCAACAGATGTTTGTTGCTGATTAGATGGTATTATTACAGCCTGTTTACAGTTACATAGTCTAATACATATACTGAATATTAAGAGTAGCTTTTAATTTTGATTATTCTATAATAGAAAGAAAATGAATTACGGACTTGAATTTTTTTTCCCCGTAGTCCTTTTTTTAGAAGGAAAGAAAGCCTCAAATGTGCCCCAACTAAAGGTATTTGCTTGAAAATAATGTTCCAGCCTTTGGTACAAAGAAAACCATTTTGAAGTCTCTATACTAACATAGAGTATTTCCCAAGATTACTGTGTTTGTAGAAATAAGTTTTTAGACAACTAATGACCATTTATTTTTTTTTCCACCCAAGGAGAAGTACAAATGTCTACCACAAGACGAAAACGTAGTATGTTATGTTGTTTACCGTAAGCTGTAGTAAAATGAGCTCGATGATTGACAGGTATGTTTTTAGAGACTCTTTATTTGGAATTATATAAAGCTATTTTAAAATTCACTATTAGAGTAATGGTCTATATCACACTGATAAAAGGAGTTTTCTGCTTAAATTACTCTTATATTTAATTTCTGTGTTGAGCAAACATAGCGTAATAGTAAGAAAGATATACTATCTATAGCCACAGTCAACAGCAGATGACTTGTTTTCTAAAGAAGTTTTGACTATAATTTTCAGTGATTTGGTCAGAGCTGTTCTGAAAGAAATTTGTGCCAGTTGTAAATGTTTCCTTGGTACCTTATAGAATCTTCTATCTCCTTATCTCTTGTCTTTTTTCTCCTTATCTTTTGGTGCTAACTTCATCCCTTTAAGCGTTTTAGCATTTGTGACTGATAAGAGGTAACTATACCATCATGTGCTGCATAATGGTGTTTTGGTCAATGACAGTGGTCCCATAAGGTTAGTACTTTATAGCCTAGGTGTGTAGCAGGCTGTACTATCTCCGTTTGTATACTACACTCTGTGATGCTTGCACAAGGATGAAATCACCTAAGGACACATCTCTCAGAATATATCCCCATTGTTAAGTGACACATGACTGTAATTAGGATTTCATTAGTTGAAAGTATGATCTTTAAATCTTACTGTTGGGAAGAAGATAAAACCTTTGTCTTTCTTTGTTAAGGCTTTTTTTTTTTTTTTAACATTTTAACATCTCTGACGTTGGGATTCATCTTACAGTTGGCTTATCATAGTTTAATTGGTAGCTTTTTTTTCTTTCTTAGTGGCATATAAAATACTAAGTCTTATAGTCAATGATGTCCTAAATTTGATGAAATACAGTAACAGATTTTAAGCATCTACTCTTTGACAGCTAATGTGCAGAATGCTTTTTATATGTTGCTTAACCTCACAATAATTCCATGAGATTTTTACACATGCTCTTGATTTTATTTGTTAGAATGCTCTTCATCTGTATCTTCCCCAAACCAACCCCTTACTGTTACTTAGATCTCAGCTCCAATGTCCCCACTTCAACAAGTCCTTCCCTAACCACTTAGACTAAAGTAACTACCCAGTAACTAAAACATCGTCCCTTTTTTGAAGAATAAAACTTATCATACTTTTTAGTGTTGATTTGTTTCTTTCTACAAGAAAATTAGCTGTAGGAGAGCAGGGACCTCTGTGTCGGGTAACTATGTCCAGAACAGAGCCTGGCACATGAGTGTTAATAAATATTTGTCAGATGACTCAGTAATCAGTGAAAATGTAACAATGTGCTACATATTGTGATGTTTATGAGTGATTTGTGGTCTTATAAAGTGAATGTCTCCGAAAATATATTTTTTAAACTATGTTATTATAATTAAAAATAATTTCAAATGAATCATTTTATATAATGGCAAATACACTGACTTTCTATAAGTTTTCACTGGTTACTAAAAATTTGAAACGATACTTAACCTCTAATTAAATTAAATTCTAGTTTACCATGGTTGTATATATGGACATACCTCGGAGATATTGTGGGTTCTGTTCCAGACCACCACAATTAAGTGAATATTGCCATAAAATGAGTCACATGAATTTTTTTGGTTTCCTAGTGCATATAGAAGTTATGTTTATACTATACTGTAGTCTGTTAAGTGTGCAATAGCATTATATCTAATAAAGCACTATATATACCTTAATTTGAAAATACTTTATTGCTAAAAAATGCTAACCATCATCTGAACCTTCAGCAAGTTGTAATCTTTTTTATTGGTGGAGAGTCTTGTTAAAAAACATGATATTTGCAAAGTGCAGTAAAGTGAGGCACAGTAAAATGTGGTATGCCTGTATAGTACAGTTGAGTAAGTAGTTTTAAAATTCACATTTGTAATAAACTTTTAAAAATGGAATTAAATATGTCTAAACTTTAATTTTCTAGTATTTATTAGAAAACAGGTTAGTAGTTACTGAGTTTGCAGTTGTACAGTCCATTGATTCTACAATAATCCTAGGATATAACTGATTTGATTCACGTGTCATTTTAGTATTACCGTTGCTTAGTGAAACTGCTCTTATATTTTCTCTATCTACTTTCTTTTTTCTTTTAGAGATGATGGTAGTATTTTTGATGGGTTGGTGGAAGAAGATGACAAGGACAAAGCAAAAAGGTAGTTCAACTTAAGACATAAAATAGTAAATAAATGAATAGTAAGTATAGTCATGCACCGCCTAATGTTTCAGTCAACGATGGACCTCATATATGACAATGTTCCCATAGGGTTAATACCACGTAGCCTTAGTGCATAGTAGGCTATACCCTCTAGGTTTGTGTAAGTATGCTCTACAATGTTTGTACAATGACAAGGTCACCTAATGATGCATTTCTCAAGACGTATCCCTGTCCTTAAATGATGCATGACTGTAAATGTAAAAGTAAATAGTAAATCAGTGATTTCCAAAAGCTGTGTGCCTTAAGAACTTAGATATATTAGCAAAGTGGAAGAGCTTAGACTATCAGAATACTCTTTATAAATTAAATAAAATTATCCTCTAGAGGTGCCCTTCTCATCACATGATATTATGGGTACATAATATGTATATGATATCACTAGACATGTTAACCTTCATCACGTAGCTAAGGTAGAGTTTTCCTGGATTCACCATTATAGTTACTATTTTTCCCTTAACCTACTCTATACTTTGGAAGCAAATTATTAAGTGCAGCTCATCTTCAGAGTAGGGATGAGGAGAATTAAGCTCCACTTTCCATAGAAGGGGATATCTACACATATTTGGAATTCTTCTGTAAAAAAATTGTCTCCCATTTATTTATATCTGTATGGTCTCATGTATATTTATTTTATACTTTGATATACTCTAGTACTGTTTTGTTTATTTTGTTCCTCAAATTGTTCCAGCTTTGGTCATTGGCGGGGGGCATCTTTTACGGTTGGTTCCTGTGCTCTTTGACATGCCTCCATTTTCTAATAGAAGGGAAAGTAGATGATGGAGAGAGGAGGGAGGAAAGAATTGTTGAAGAGGTATTATCAAGTAGGTGAGGGACTGGGATATAGAGCCTTGGTGGTGATGACCTTATGTGGGCTTCAACCTTGAATAGGATCCTTGACAGTTAATTACAGTATCAGGAGGGTGGGTCCAGGTAGCATCGCAGTCAAGTTTGTGGTCCTTGAGAGTGAGTGGTAAACACTGTTTTTTCCCCAGCCATGTTGAATTTGTGGGTGCTTAGACAGGGGCAGAGGGTGTTGTAGCATTATACACAGATACTAAAGATATGCATATAATAATTCCTCACTGTCTGTATTTAGTAAAATGAAAGGTACTGGGATGAGAAAAATATTCACAGTAACCAGGTAAATTGCTAAATATTTTAATGATTAAAATACATCTGAGAAGAAGATTTTGAGGAAAGCTATATAACTTTATTCAAGGAAATAAAAAGACTTGAATTTGAAGCTAACACTATATAGGATAACTCCTATCCCTTAACCTCAGTCTAGTGGAGGAAATTTCTTACAAAATGCTTCAGGGTAGAGATAGAATCTCTGATAAGTTGGGAATAATCAGGCCTGCCCTAATGAAGAGGCAGAACTCTAAGGAATGGACTTGGACAGTCTTAAAGGCCAGGTTAATAGATGGATAAGGTGAGTCAAGGGTATTTTATTTGCAGAGGCTCTGAAGGTTTGATCATGTTTTTAGGGAACCAAAAAGACTGTGGCTGTGGGAAAGCTTGGAGAAAGAGAAGGAACTTTATAATAATGCTGTCAGATTAAACAGGACCACATTGAATTCTTACTGAAAACAATGATGAGTTAAAGACCTTAGCATTAAACTAAGATGAAAGGGAGTTTTATACCTGCCCCCCAAAATGAAACATCTGTGGCCTGTTATCAGTGAAGTCATCACAAGGGCTGAGTACTTCCAACCTGAATATAATATGAAGTAAAGTTTGCTTTAATGGGTGTGATCCAGTGGTAGAGTTGGCAGTGATACTTGATTTCTATATATTTTCTTCCTCTGGAGTCAAAATGGCTGATTTGGATTATTACTTCATGGTATCTGTATGACCCTGGGCATGTTCTTCTTTATGCCTGAGTTGTCACACCTGTAAAAATGAAAAATAGGGGCTGGCCCGCTGTTGTAGTGGTTAAGTTCGTACACTCTGCTTCAGCGGGCTGGGATTTGCCAGTTCAGATCCTGGGCGCAGACCTGCACACCGCTTATCAAGCCATGCTGTGGTGGCATCCCACGTAGAACTAGAAGGGCTTAGAACTATGATATACAACTATGTACTGGGGCTTTGGGGAGAAAAAAAGAAGAAAGAAAGAAAAGAAAAATAATAATAAAGTCTACCTAGTAGGAATAAATGATATTTCATAAATGTTTACAGTAGTGCTTGGCACTTTAATTATACAATAAGTATTGGCTGTTATTTTTACCTCAAACCCATGTGTTCAGATATTTCATATATACTGATTCTCAGATGCTTATTTCATGCTTACTCTTTTCTAGAGGAACATAGCTAGGTCCATCTGTCTAAGCCTGTTGTGTATGACCTTTAAAATGTCAAACAGGCAATTTCACAATATCTGAATTCTCCCCAAATCATCTGTTCACCAAAACCAGTATCACATGTTATATTTCACATTGGTAATCAGCATTATCAGTAACTTGGGGATCCCCTTAGATTTCCCTTTTGCGTTCCCCCTCCCAACCAAACCTGAATTACCTAGAGTTGATAGTTCTGCCTCTTAACCCTCAAACCCACACTGCTCTGTTAACGCTGCCATGGTTTATAGGCTAGAATATTGCACTTGCCTCCTAAATGGTCATCTACCCTCCAGTCTACTGGCATACAGTAATTTTTCAATAGTATTTGCTAAATGAATGTGTTTTGCCAAGCACTGATCCTTTCATCATTGATGCCAGAATGGTCTTATTGACAAGCAATTCTGTTCATATCATTTCTTTGCTTAAAACCTTTCACTGCCTTCCCATGGCTTTCAGGATGAAACTAAAATGCTTCTATGTAGCATAAAAACTTCTTGAATTATTTTCAGTACTTATTACTCTCACCCACCCCTAACTCTAGCATAGTTGGGAACAGAAAGCCTGTGCACTAGCCACATTAGCCATGCTTACTTGTGATGGATTTTCATCTTTATACAAGTTTCCTATGCCTGGAATGCCCTGTACACACCTCACTACTATCCTTTTCTCACTCAGCCTTCATGACTCAATTTAGCACACTAGGATGCCATCCCTGATTCCTCTGAGTTTCCATAGGAATTAGGTGAATTTCTTGAAAGGGCTTGTCTTTGCCCAGTATCCTTAATCCTTCTTAGCACAGTCTCTGTCATTATAGCAAGCACACAATGTTTGATGAGGGAGTCAGTTAATATCTATTATGTCTCTGAAGAGGTTTAAACAATTACATTTTTTTCCAGTACTAATATAGAATAAATACTTATTCTTTACTGGAAAACAAAAAATAAGTAAAATTATCCTCTGACTTTTTGGGAAAGTAGTATACTTTGCTTAAACAAAAACTGAATTTGAAAATCTGACTTCACAAAGCAGGTAATTAGAGGTATTATAGAGGTTAATTGCTCTATAAATAATTGCATTTACTTGTCTCAAGGTCTCAGTGCAATCAAATATTTGTTGACTGGTTACTGCTTCACATAGAACATTAGTAATTATTCGTTTAGCACATATATTTTGAGTGCATAAACTTTTTTAGGTGTTATGCTTACAAGCTTAGATGAAAACATTTGGGCTATATTATCAAGGAGCCTATAGCTTAATGGAGAGCCAGATATGCAAATGGCTACAGCTCTGAGGCCTGGTGTGGGACAGAGAGAGAGAGTGCAGGGTTAGCCTGATGGCAGGGGGAGTTTCATGCTTAGATTTCTGTTTGTGATTTAAAACTTAAAGGAAATGGATAACTTTCTCCTCTTTGATAATTTTTAATAATTTTATTTACACATTATATGTGCTTTCACAAAATGTATCTCAGTAATATTCATAATCACCTAATAAGGAAAATACAAATTCTTTTTTTTTTTAAAGATTTTACTTTTCCTTTTTCTCCCCAAAGTCCCCCAGTACACAGTTGTATATTTTTAGGTGTGAGTCCTTCCAGTTGTGGGATGTGGGACACCACCTCAGCATGGCCTGATGAGTGGTACCATGTCCGCGCCCAGGATCTGAACCAGGAAAACCCTGGGCCGCCGAAGCAGAGCGTGCAAACTTAACCACTCGGCCGTGGGGCCGGCCCTCGAAAATACAAATTCTTGTAGTTAATATTAGATTAAATAAAACCTGAAATTTGAATGTTTGTCTTATAGGCATTTTCATAAAAACATATATATGCCAAATGCTTACTATATAAAAGTTTCTTTAGTGATAAACTGAGAAGACAAATTATTGCCCAAATTAACTGTATATTGTTGGTAACCTAGGAGATAAATATTTATTACCATGTATATTGACAGAGTCTATGCTATGTAGTTGTATCCAAATTGAGCATTGTAGTAAACTGTGTAATTAAATGGTTTGAAAACTGCTTATTTAATTTTTTATTTCATCAGAGTATCTAGAAACAAATCTGAAAAGAAACGTAGAGATCAATTTAATGTTCTCATTAAAGAACTGGGATCCATGCTTCCTGGTAATGCTAGAAAGATGGACAAATCTACTGTTCTACAGAAGAGCATCGATTTTTTACGAAAACATAAAGGTAAATTTTAACTTTGTAAAATGGAGTTTTTTAGTAACAAACTCTCCTTTAAAGCATAATGTGGTAGAATCTTGGCAGTCATGCTTAAGATTGGATGCTTCTTAATCTTTTTTAAGAGAGAGAAATCAATTGCCTTTTTAAAGATTTCCTGGTATGTTCATTCTTTCATTCAACAAACACTCATTTAGTGCCTATTATATCTTAGATTCTTGTGGTACAGGGTAGCCATCCTTGCCCTTAAGTAACTCAAGCCGAGGGAGACAGGCATGTGAACAGCTAATTACAATGCAGATAATTATAATGTGAGTAGTGTTTGTAAACCGTAAACTTGCTGTGAGAACACAGAGGAAAGAATGTGTCCGGGAGGCTTAAAAATAGTTGGTTTTTCAACTGAGTCTTCCTTTCAGGTTGAGTCAGGAAAAACAGCATTTCACATGGAGGATATAGGAAATAGCATATGCAAAAGCCTAGAAGCAGGGAACGTTCAATGAGTTGGAAGGTTATGGGTATATTTGAAAGAAGAGCAAGAGCCAGATTGTGAGGGCCTCATAAAGATTGTTTCAGTGTTTATCTAGGAAATAAACACTATGTTTTAAAATAAAGTGATTATCTGTTAATTGAAGAAAATCATTTTGATTAAATGAATCATGAAAAGAAAACTCAAAGAATATTAAGTATTTTTGGTAACAGAGATAATAGATGAAACACTTGTATAAGGACTTTTCCTTTTTCAGACGCAAATGAAACTGCAAAACTTCTCAGAAGGAAAATTTATAAATAGTGCCTCTATATACATCTGCCTAGCTCACTCAGTAATGCGTTACTTGCTTGGTTTATGCTTCACCACTCTGAAATTATTTTTGTTAATTTCACTAATGCCACTACCCCCACCCCCTCTGCCTCTAGTAAAACAATAGCTTTTTCTTATACCTCATCCTCTTCTGCATCTCTGAAGCAGTGGAAATTTTCATCCATCCTCCACTGGCTTTCTTTTCTCTTGGCCTGTGTTATACGGCACTTCTTCATTCACCTCCCTCTTCCTAACTGAAACTAACTGCTTGCTTCTTTCTTTTTCTGCCCTCTAAATTGGACATTTCTCAAGATTTTATCTCTTATGCTCTTGCTTTCCCTACACTCTTTCCTTTGATTATCTCATTCTATAGCTTCAGCTATTGCTTGTCTATTAAACGGCTAAATCTGTACTTTTAGATGCAAACTTTTCAGTCTTTTATTACCAGATAACTTCTGGATCTTTCTTTTGCATGTCCTCAAACTCGATGCATCCAAAACTGAATTCATTTTCATTTTGTCAAGTCACCTCTTTCTCTCAACTTTCCTTTTCCATTTGTCCTTTTTCCATTTCCTTTTCCTAACTCTTTTCAGTCCCCCAAGGACTCAAACCTGAAAAGACTATTGGATGTTTTTCATCTTCCTTATTAGTTCTATATCACAGTTGCCAAATTCTGCTGATTCTTCTGTAAATGTGTCAAAATTGCTGGTCTTCATTTTTATTGCCACCGTTATCATTACATTTTACCTCTGCACATAGCATTTCCACTAACCTAAGTGTCCCTTGTTAGATAGCACACTCAGTCCCTCAGACGTTGTGGTTCAGTAAGTGATTGTTGAATGAAATGAAATAGAGTATTAATTTTGGCATTAAGTAAATCAGCTTTTTTTTTTCAAAATTGGATATATAATTCTCACAAAAGTAAAATTTTCCTTAAATTGAAAGGGAATTCTTATATGCTTATTACTCTAAAAGAAGTCTATGTTTAACTGAACTTGATGGGATTTGCTTGTGGATTTAAATCTCTTGTTTCAGAGTATATATAATTCTTGTGAATTTGAAAAGCATGACTATGTTCCACAGAATTAGTAGCTGGACTTCTTAAGTTACTCTTCATATTCTAGTACAGGCATTTCCAGTATGCCAAATTTGGGGTGTCAATTTAATATGCTATATTTGTATATCTCTATATTTATATAGAAAAATTAAAATAACTTAGTCTGTACTTTTCACTGTACATTAGAGTATATTTTGTAGAGTAAAATCTATGACATGGAGTTTTATTTTGCCTGGTTGTTTTAGTATGTCTGCATTTAAAAATGGAAAAGCATTTATTACCTAAATAGTTCAGGTTTCATCATTTATGAATAGCTCTCTCATAACTAAGTCCATTAGAAGTATGTTGCAAAATAAACTGTAGTAATAGTGTTAAAATGTGTGCCCCAAGCCAGGGATCTCCAAATTTTTGACCAGTCACTACCACTAAGAAAACATGCGAGAGGATACTAAGCAAAACCACTCTGGGATTATTACTATAAAGGTTTTGCCTGAAATCTTAATTTAGTTTCCTTGATTAATTAAGAATAGTATACCTCTGTCTGGGAGGAATCTTTCTGCCAGGCAATAGGCAGGCCTAAAGTCTTCTTTGTTAAAGCAGACTGGCTGACCTCCTTGGCTCTTTTCCTCCAGGCTCATGTCCTTATGTCTGCTCTAGATTCTGCCATTTAAATGTCAAGGAAAGGAAGAGGAAGAGAATTTCTTCATAACGCTTGATCTAATCTGCTTGTTCTGATTTGGTTTTGGTTGTTCTGTCAAGCAGGAAACAATCTCAGGCCTATCAGCAACATAGGCTATCAAAGCTCCCTGGAAAAGCCAGAGACTAGTATTTCCAAGACACTAAATCCAAGGAGATAACTTGCCACATTAGCTCAAATATTTCATCATACCAAAACCTGGACCTCCTGATACTTACCTAGACCAACAAATGTTATTGCCTATGCTTCCCGTCTTTCCTTAGAGTGGGAGGAGAGAAGGCAACTTGTAGGACTTTTGCACCACCCTCCTCCCCTTCCCCCGTGTTTGGAGTATGTCACTAATGTGTCAAATAATCTGTTTACAGAAATTACTGCACAGTCAGATGCTAGTGAAATTCGACAAGACTGGAAACCTACATTCCTTAGTAATGAAGAGTTTACACAATTAATGTTAGAGGTACGTCCAGATTTACTTTTTGAGGTTTTATTTTCCTTACAAAAGAAATCACAGGGGTGACTAATTTTAGTATAGTTTTAACAGTTTAATATTGAAAAGTCTTAATTCATTGTAAATCAATAAATTGTATCTTCAATTAAAATTAATTGGTTTTAAGTATTGTAAGGAAATAGCACCAAGCGGTAAAGTAATACCAAATTTTCATATTTTCAATATTATCTAAAGTTGTGAGAGGCTTGATAAAAGTCAGAAACGCATAGCTACCAAGTTTCTCTACCTGAGACCACATTAACAACGTTCAAATGAAGAATAATATGTATTATTCATCACATGAAATTTATCTTACCAGACAGTAGGATTTTTTTTAACAAATTAAAATCCCCCTAACACAACATAAAATGATAAGTGAAGTACTCTGAAAATATTAAAACAATGAAACATACATTGAAAGGCAACTCTTCTTACTCAAGTAGAAAGTTTTAAAAGTAAATAAGTAAATGTTATTCTGTGAAAAAATTATTTTTGAAAACAATTCAGAGTATATTTGCTTGTAATTGAAAAATTTAATACCTCATATAATCAATTGTAAAATCCACAAAAATTTTGTCACTCATACCTATCAATTTTATTTTTCTACTTTTTGTTTCATATGTAGAATAATATAGGTAACTGCTATGCACACAAAGTACACAGAGTTGATTGTCAAATTTCCATAAAAATTTATAGTAAATAGGAAACAGGCAGGAACGGCTAAGGATAAGAAAAATACATAACAGAAAGTAGACATAGAAAGAGTACAGGAAAGCAATTGAAATGGGGATGTAGAGTTTGTTAAATAATTTACATTTCTTGTCTTGTTTGCTTGGGTCTATTATTTTAGACCTTAAGCTTTGTCTGTGTCATGTATGTGTATGTAATGACCATGTCTCAAGTGTCTTTGTATATTGACTGAGTCTGAAGCAACATAGAGTATTTTGCAAATTGAGTTATTTTTTTACTTATACTTTAGATGGAACAGTTAATCACTGGATTAATTAAGTCTTTATATAGTCAGCAAAAACGTTACCATATGAAAATTTGTTGGGGTATATATATATATTGCATATATTTAAACCTGTGTTTAAAATCTGAAAAATAACTGAGTGCTTTTTACATATTAACTCAGTGCATCTTCACAAGAATCTTATGAAGTAGATACTATTAGTGTCCCTTTCTTACTTTTGAGGAAATTGAGGAACAAAGGGATTATGAAACTTGCCCAAAGTAACACAGTAAGTAGCTCACCTAGGATTCATTGAAGGTAGACTGGCCTCTGATCCCCATGGCCTCAACCCCTGTGCACAGTGGCGCTCGTGAAACTTTTCAGTAAAAGCTAGCCATGGCATAGAACTTAGCTCAGTAATCAGCAATTAGCTCTTTAAGTTAGTGTACACTTAAGTTGTAAACCAAATAATAGTTCCTGATTTGTTAAAATGTTTTTCCTCTAAAAAGTAGTTTGACATTGTCCAAAATTCTCTGTTTAGATATAAGTAATGTGTTTATGAACGGGTACAGAAATGCTATTGTCTACAACAAAGAAAGGAAATAACTCATTTAATCACTCTATAATTTTTATTGTATGATTATATTTTCAGTGCAATGGTTTAATAAGATCTGTGTCAGTCATAAACTATTTACTTACCCTGCTTTATTGGTATGAAAAATTTTTTATAAATTCCTAAATTGGTATAATATCTATACTCATTTATTAATAACTTTAATTAAGGTAAATTACCTATTCACTAATGAGCTAAACAGAGAAGCATTGGCTTCAAATTTTTCTTAACAATTGGCAGATTTTTTTTTATTTGCCAAGGTACTTGTAGTACATACTAAGGTAAGTATAAAAAATAAAGATTCTAGAGATTATAATATACAACAGAGAAAACTTAAACATATTAAAATTTTTGAAAATAAAAAATTAGTTTTCTCATGATTATCCTCACAGCTTTTAAGGTTACATTTCTAAAAAAGTTACATTTATTTATTTTTAATATGTCAAGCATATTTTTGATTTTCAGTGAGTATTTACAACTACCAAGGAAATATACATTCTAACATTAATATGCCAAGATATGTGCAAGATACAAGAATATGTTCAAGTGTATGTATATATTGCAACCTAGGTCCAATTAACCCAGTTGTGTTACTCTTGTGTAGTCATGTTGATCAGATTACGGATAGGCAGTCCAGATAACATTTTCAGCAGAATTTCAGATGAAGGCTCTATCTTGGAATGTTAGAACTACTAGTAGAAGAGATTAGATCATTCAGTTCAGCCTCTTCATTTTATGGATGAGGCTCAGAGAAGTTGCAGCTTGTCCAAAGTCAGATAGCTAGTTAATGGAAGAACTAGGACTGAAATCTTAAAATTCATTTATTCACTTAAAATTCACTTAAAGCTTCACAGTCTTCATTGGGAGGAGGATTTCCTCCTCTCTTGCTCTCTCTTCTATCTCTCCCAAACCTTCCTCCTCAAGGCCCCTTTAGTTTTTGGTGTAACCAACTACCTTCTTGGAAAATTACATCCTTTCACTCAAAAGAAGTCTGGGCCCTGGGTCCTTTCTTGTATTGACTTTGGTGAAATGCTGGTGGAAGCTTTTCTGTGCTTAGGCTTTGCCTGTTTTGAAAGAGGAAAGGACGGGCTCTGGTCGTAGGAGTGAAATTAAGTCATTAAGAGTTCTGATTTCAGTTCATTCTCTTCACAGAAGAGAGTTGCACCCCACTTCCTAGCAAATATCCTAAAAGGAAATACAGATCATCATAGTAAATATTAATTAGCTTTCAAAGATGACACAATCTATCTTCACGTGAAAAAAGCATGTTCCTCTTAACATCATTTTGACCCTCTCCCTTATGAAATAATAATAATGACATTATTGTACTAAGGAGTTTTGTAAAAAATAATTTAATGAATTTGCTTAAATTACAAAGTTTTCATCGCCTTCCCCTACATTAGCTAAGGCTGAGTTTGTCTAGCCATTCTAGAAGATAGGTGTCTATTCAAAATAAGTTCTTTCTGATATCCAGATCTCTCCCCCGATAGAAGCGGAGGGGAAGGGTGCTTTTTTCCATACGTTCAACATATACTTCAACAATGACTTAGAATTAGAGGGAGATTGCTCTAACTCCCACGTCCGTAAATTATATACAAGTATTTTTTACCTGCCGTGTGCCATACGTATGCTAGGTGCTGCAGATACGATGTTGAAGAAGATAGGTATGGTTCTTACCAGAGATTACTATTCTTTGAGAGAGCCCTATAATTAAACAAGAAATCTGAATTTAGTATGATAACTTGTGATATGAGAAGAGAAATTCCTCTTATGGTATATCTTTCTTTCTATATATCTTCAACATCCGTTCCACTGGATCTTCCTTTCTTCAGCCTGTAAATATGCTTCAGTTACTTTTTTAAAATGCCTTCCTCTGATACTTGATCTCCTTAAAACTTGTCCTTTCTCCTTTCTTCTCTTCTAAAGTTCATAAAAAACGTGGTTTATAATAGCCTTCTGATCATCCACTTATCTCTTAAACTCATTATAGTTTGACTCACCTTCCTGTTGACATAACTCTTTTGAAAGTCACCAAAATTCATTTCCCATTTTCTTACTCCATATCCTATTTAATTTCGTTTTACATTGAACCATCCCTCTTCCTCCTCACTCACCTTGTCATTCTCTCTTTCCTTGACTTCCTTGATCAACAGTGTGTCTTTCTTCTCTGTCATTTTCTCTGGCACTTTCCTCCTCCTCATCTCCATGTGTAGATAATTCCTCCAAGTATTTATCTTTGGTATGCTTCTCTCTTTTGCAGATCTCATTTCTTCAGCTGTCACTTCTGTGCCTAGGACTCTCAAATGAAAATACTTTGTAATATGTAATTTACAGGATTGCTTTATTATTAAGTATTGTATCCCCTGTACTGGCTTCTCTCCTGAACTCTAACTTCACATTTCTCAATGCTTGCCTGCATTCTTTGTTCTCTAGTCTTACTGCTACTAATTTCTTCAGATCCTCATTAACTCCCCTGACTATTCCAAAAGCCACTGAGATTTTCCTAACTTAATTCTCTTTCTCCTCTAAACGCATTTTAACACTACTTCTAGACTACTCGTGAGCAAAGTCCTTATTAACCTGATATTCAAGGCCTTTCATGATCTGACAGCCTACTTTTTCAGCTTAATTTCCCTTTCACTTTCTTCCCTATGTATCTTCCTACACTTCAGTCATACACCTCTCTGTTAATGTAATCAAAAGGTGATAATGTGTTCTTTTGTGTGCCAGACGTATTATTTATGGCATATGTGCTTCCGAGGTATTGGCATCTTCCAATAAGGCCATCTTAATATAATATACATATGATAAAGATAGAACATTGTCTTTATCTTTTAGAAGCCAACTGTCCAATAGATGGCCATAGAGTGATTTTTTTCCAGAAGCATTTTAAAATGCACAAAGATAAATACTAAGGTATTGTAAAGGGGGAAAAGCTAGCATTCTGACAATGCTCTGGAAATTTCCACATTAAGTCCCTTGTCATTTATCTTAGATTTTTATTTCTGTTCTGTGAAATACTTTTTTCTTTTCATTTAACTGACCATTATGTTTAATTTCAGGCTCTTGATGGTTTTTTTTTAGCAATCATGACAGATGGAAGCATAATATATGTGTCTGAGAGTGTAACTTCATTACTTGAACATTTACCAGTGAGTATAAAAATGCTGTGATCTCTTTCTTATTTAATGCCTATTTAAACATTCTAAAGCACTTGGAGGTGGATCTCCAGAGCAGTGTTGAACCGTGTTTAGAGTGGGGATGAGAGCTCCAGATATGTCTGTTTTAGCGTGGCTATGATTTCTCAGGTCAGTCGACTCTCTACAGTGAGTAGTCAACAACCACTTTATCTAACCTCTGTTCTTCCTGCCCTCTTTATTCTGATGCTAAATTTTCAGCGTTTCCTTTTTAATCAGCCTGGTGAAGATGTTGCTAAATCAGTAAGAATATCTTGAGAATAAGTAATTTTCTACTGAGATAATTTGTTGCAGCTGGAGGAACTCATAAATAATTTTCTCTAAAGAATCATTTAGAAGAACACTAAAAGTAATAGATAAAAACATTCATGCTCTGTGATGTGAATTGATAGTGTTATAATGGCCATTTTCAATTTATCAATATGACCGAAAGGCTAGATAATTAGTAAAGAATTGTATAATTTGATTAGAATGGTAAATATATGAATTATGTTTTTGCTATTTTACTCAACATGTATTTATGAGAGAACATCTACTCTGTGCCAGACACTGTGCTAGGTGCTCTGCTGCAATTGACAGTTTTTATGAATTTGAAGTTTTTATTTAATATGTAATGTTCCTATTTAAGATGAGGCTTGTGGTATAAATATTCTGACATTACTTATAAATTACTCTTCCAATGCTCATCTCTTGAAAATTTATGACAATACAAAGTAAACTGTTCTGTAAAGGTCTCTTTCAAGAGGTGTTGAAAAGCAGCATCTCCCTCTCATTACTCTGCTCCTTTATACTTTATAAAAATAATGGACTCCACACTTAAAAGCCCAGATTCTAAAAGGGTAATTTCTTACCGAAAGCCAGACAATAAGTAATTTGCTAATTTCTTTGGTCACACAGAAAATGACTTGGTTTTCCTGCTTTTCTAGGGGCTTTATTTTCAAGTAAGCTCAAGTAGTAGGTGATTAGCCCAACATCTAAAAATTGTTTGAAAGTGAACAATGAGATTATACCAACATGTAAGTAGCAGAGAAAAGGACAGACTGATTAAACTGAATTTTCTGGGCAGCTCTATTTTAAAAAATAGTTGCATATTAAAAACAGCCAGGGAAAGAAATTCTTTATAGGATTAAGATACAATTAAGATAAGATTAAGTAATTTAAACAAAGGTATAATTATATGTTTTTAAACCACATACAATTGTTTGTATACAATTGAATTGGTTTTTCTTTCAGTTATGTATTTATAGAGACTATGTAATCTTTAATTTAGTCATAATTAGAGCATCATTTGCAATGTGGTCACACTTTTTAAAAGCCTGCTTCTTGGGCGCTTTCCTTGAACTCCATTCAGAATTGGATGCCCTTCCTCTCTGTTCTCATGTTACCTTATACATACTGCCATCAGCCATCATGACACTTACAGTGAATTGTAACTTTCTGTTTATTTTTTATAATTATGGTAGGTGTAAGCTTCTTAAGTACAGAGACTTTATCTCTGTATCCACATGGACTAGCTAGTTTCTCAGAGAGAGACACTCAATTTATTGAATATATGAAAATTAGTAGACTATTTGATGTGAGTGTTTTAAAAATTCCTTCATAATGGCACACTGGTGTTCGATCTTTAATTGTGAGGGAATGTTTAATTGCGTTTTGAAATAAACAGCATGTCCATAACAGATCTAGTTGGGATCCAAGTGGTCATTAACATCCCCCCTCAATGAAAACCCTCTTTGCCCTCCCATTCCCTCTTGGATTTTTTTTTTAAATTTTTTATTTTAGAACTGTTTTTATATTTACAGAAAAATCAAGAAGATAATGTAGAGAGTTCTCATATACCCTATACTGTTTCCTCTGTTACTTACATCTTCTAATCTTTTTAATTGCCTATGTCAGCCAAAGCTTGTAGACAGGCAGGTGAATTTGGGCACAGAGGAGATTGCTGCCAATCCAGTAAACCCATTTCATTTCAGATTGAGTTAGTAGTATCCTTTATTAAAACAATTTTTTGCTGCTCTCCAGTTACTGTGGATACTTTCCTTCACATCACTGACATTGCTGAATTATATGTTACTTGATGGTTTGAAAACATAAACACAAGTGTGTTTTGAGAAAATAATACTGGTATAGGATCAAACACAATAAGGAAAAAATACGTGATTTTCTCTTTTGGGTTATCATTAATAATTAAACTGTAATAGATGCTAAGCAAAAGGCTTAAAGCAATGGTGTTCCTTCCTTTGTATTTTAATATACACACCTTTTTTCTAAAATAGAATTATGGCTGTTGCCCAGAAGGGAAGAAACATTACCAAATCCTTAACTTAGGATTTAGTGTTTATAATTCAGTTCTGTTAAGAAATTAAAACTTGCCATCTCAATTAGTGGTCAGTATAATTTAAAATTTTTAAATTTAAATTTTAAATCTGACTATCAAATTATAAAACTGATTCTATAGGTCCTGCAAAAAACAAAACAACAACAAAAGTTTTCTTAACTTTGTCACTTCATACTTAGAAAATTAATTTAGGCACATTTTAACATATTTGTGGCTAATAATCAGGAAAGGGAATTTATGGATTTTTTTTTCTCCTGATCTGGCTTTCTATGACAAAGTTATAGATCATACCACCTCAGTACCAGAAGAGATTTTAGACATCCTGAGCCCAGCCCCTTTATGTTATCAGCAAATATGAAACCCAGAAAAATTACACTTAATTGTGGAACAATTTAGAGGAAGTGCCAAGACATACAGTTGGGTCTCTTACTGTACTGAGAACTTAAAATTTGTAAAATTTTACAACTTTAGAGTGATTTCCTCACACTTGCTTAAATGTGTTCCTGAGAAAGAATATATTAAATTTGTAACCATGTAATATAGGGAACATGATTAGCCACATTACAGCCTAACAGGGCCCAGTACTAAAAGTGCCACTGTTAAAAAACTTGGTGAGCCTTTTCTTTTTTCTCTCCGTAACTTGGGAATTTGGAAATTTAAACACAAGTGTGTTTCAAGAAAGTCAGTATAGTCTTTGCCTGGTATAAATGTAGTATACAGAAATATTGGATTTAGACTTTTTTGAATAGTTATCTAATGATTATGAAAGCTTATTTGAAGGGGCCAGAATTTTTGTTCCTTATGCCTGTACTTAAGGACACAGTTTTTAAAAATGTGTTATATCCAACATATATTTGACATTTTTGGAGAGGAGCTTCTCTACAGCAGGTTTGTGTAACGGTTGGTTGTCTACCTGAGGGAAAAGACAATAGTTAATAATTTCCACTAAATGGTCACATTGACCTAATGTAGGAAAAACAGAAAGGCTGTTGATTTGTGTCGTATGATAATCAACAGGATTCACATTTCTTCTTCATGAAAATGATTGAGGGAGATATAAGGTCCAGATAGCTGCCATTTTCTTTTCTTTCCTTCAAATTGTCTTTGGGAACTGATTGAATGGTATGGCAACATCAAGTATGATCAGCTTCATTTAGAGATTTTAAATGTAGTGGTTAATGGAAAGTTTGACACATTAGTTAATTAGTTGCCTGCTAACTCTAATCCTCAAGATTTATCAAGTGTCAGGGGAAGAGGAGCAGTGCTTGTGACCATACTGTTCTCTGTACTAGCCATTTGTATGCTTTTCTCTGGATATAAATTTATAGATGGAAAAGCCAGGGTAACATGGATCAAACCATAACTTACTGAAATAGTAGAAGAAATTGTCAGTAAGGATAAATAATAGTAGAAAGCTATAATCATTTCCAAAATGAAAGAGTTAGTTCTCACTTCAAATTACTGTCTTGTTTTTCTGTCATGACTATTTATCACATTAATATCAATGCCTAATTTTAAAACTTTGTCAATAAAAGGCAATTTTCTAGCCTTTTTTGTTATTCCTGCCTGAATTTTCAGTTTATTCTTTCTGTTCTAGAGGCTTTTCAGACTTTCAGAAAAATCCCTTATTAAAATACAGATATATTTTTGGTGTGGTTACCCCTTAAGTTTTATCAAATAGTTCCTTAATCCAAAATCATTTACTCTACTGGTAACTGTTATATGCAAAGCACAGTGTTAATGTGCCTTGATTTGAAGGGAGGGAGATAAAGATGTAAGAGATAGGGACCTTTTATTCACTTAGGGGGCAGCAGGACATAGACATTAAAATATAATTAACAAATATTTTTTATGGTAAATGAATGATATGAGTAATAAGTACTAAAGGAATTTTATTGTGGATTGTGGTGTTAAGAGAGTGCTTTTTTGAAGGAAATAATTTGAACTGGTCTTTGAAAGATGGAGGGTACAAATATGTGGAGAGAGAGGGGAAGGATATTCCACTTCATGGGGTGGACTTTGAGGGCTAGAGAAAAAACAGAAGAAAGAATGCGAATGGATGCCTCCTACGGAGAGTAGTAAAACACCCCTTTCCCACCTCCCACCATCCCTGTTGGTCTCTTTTTTTGTTGTTGTTTGAGGGGTTTTTTTTGGTCTTGGTTTTTTTTTCTTTAAAGGTTGCCACCTGAGCTAACAACTGTTGCCAATCTCTTTTTTTTCCTTCCTGCTTTTTCTCCCCAAATCCCCCAGTATATAGTTGTATATTTTAGCTGTGGGTCCTTCTAGTTGTGGCATGTGGGATGCCACTTCAGCATGGCCTGATGAGCAGTGCTATGTCCACGCCCAGGATCCGAACCGGCGAAACCCTGGGCCGCCGAAGCGGAGTGCGAGAACTTAACCACTTGGCTACAGGGCTGGCCCCTCTTATTTTGTATTTAACAAAATCTTTACGATATTTAAAAGTGGAACTGCTTTGGTTGAATGCAGGGGGAAAGACCATTAGCCCTGCCTCCACATCTCTTTTCGCTTCCCTTACCCTCCACCCCTACTTCCACAGTCCTTCAGATATCACTATCCCTGGGATTCCACAGAGCAGTTTGAAAACGTAGAGATAGCAAGTAGAATGGACTGGATTTGGTAGGAAATGTGAAGTCACTGAAGTTTTGTTGTCAGTGGTTCTTAAGGATAGGAACTATCTTACAGTTTTGATTCCACAGCCGTGGCAAATAGTAGGCAACCTGATGTTTGTCAAATTACTCTTGACTAATGAATCATAATTAAAGCCATATTTTTATGGGGCCGGCCTGGTGAAACAGCGGTTAAGTGTGCATGTTCTGCTTCGGCGGCCCAGGGTTCGCTGGTTTGGATCCTGGGTGGGGACGTGGCACCGCTTGGCAAGCCATGCTGTGGTAGGCATCCCACATGTAAAGTAGAGGAAAATGGGCATGGATGTTAGCTCAGGGCCAGTCTTCCTCAGCAAAAAGAGGAGGATTGGCGGTAGCTCAGGGCTAATCTTCCTCAAAAGAAAAAAAAAAACATATTTTAGCAAGGATTATAATGCTTAACATATTACTTGCCTTTTTTTTTTTTTTGGCTAGCTAACATCACTGCTTTTTGACAATGGGATACAGGGTAGATGGCTAGAAAACATGAAATCAAAAAGAAAGGACACATTGGACAACTGAAATAACACCAAAGTCAGATCTTTTCATGTGTTCTTTGTTGTGGTCTGTATCGGCATAATTTACCAGAGATTTGAATGTATGATAAGGCTACAGCTTGTAGCCAAAGATTTTTCTAATCAGCTTTCTTAGTCCTGTTATATTTTAAGTGTTCAAATTTGGTGAACTCACCTTTGCAAATAATTTATCAGACTTTCAGAGTCTCACATTGGTCATGGATCTGATGACCCTAGTATCAGAGGCGTGGAGGTCGTGCTAACCTTCTTTCACCTTGTTTCCTGAGTTGTGCTCTGTAACTTGACATTTGTCAGTTTTTACAGATAATCGAAAGTTAACCATATGCTCATCTGATGCCTTAAGAGTAATTATATACTTTTAAAATAAAGGTTTCTTGAATTACTAAAATTATTTTATTTTTATAAATTTCTTTTTCAGTCTGATCTTGTGGATCAAAGTATATTTAATTTTATCCCAGAGGGGGAACATTCAGAGGTTTATAAAATACTCTCTACCCATCTGCTGGAAAGTGATTCATTAACCCCCGAATATTTAAAATGTAAGTAGTAGCTGTTAAGCAAAACGTTAAATGTGTTTGGTTGCGCTATCCTTTACTTTATAAGTTTGTGACAAACACAGACATGTTTAGCTAAGTTAACACAAAGCATCATTCCATATATCCTATTAGATCCTTTTTAAATATTAAAAAAAATTAAATGGAATTATGACCATATTAAAAGTCTAAACTCTATTCCAGAGTATATTGAAATCCCTTCTTTTTTGTTATAATAGTTATGCCATAAAACTGTATTTTACACAAAAATGGAACTTGGCAATATATTCTTATTAATTTTTTAAATAATTTTTAAATCTTTATTTTCTATAGTAATATATTTCATGTTTCCAAACTTAAAATTTACAAAATAATACTCTGTAAAAGTCTAGTTCACATCTTTGTGCCCAGAATTATTAGTCCTCTATCTAGATGTAGATTAAAAAAGAAACGTAGTGTTTTGAAGAAAATGCTGAAAATATTTTACAAATATTCAAGGCAACACATGTACTCTTTCTTCTTTACATTAATGGCATTACATTATTAGCAATATTCAGTACTTTGGCTTTTTATATCTGCATATGTTTAATATATATTCATTTTATTGAGGTAACTGATTTATAACATATAAATTTCAGGTGCACATCATAATATTTTTATTTGTGTGTAGAGTACATCATGTTCGCCACCCAAAGGCTAATTACCATCCGTCACCGTACACATATGCCCTATCACCTTTTACCCTCCTCCCTGCCACCTTACCCCTCTGGTAACCACCAATCTAATCTCTGTATCTATGTGTTTGTTTGTTGTTGTTTTTATCTTCTACTTATGAGTGAAATCATATGATATTTGACTTTCTCTATCTGACATATTTCACTTAGCATAATACCTTCAAGGTCCATCCATATTGTCACAAATGGCAATTTTTTATCTTTTTTTTAATAGCAGAGTAGTATTCCATTGTGTATATATGCCACATCTTTAGCCATTCATCCATTGATGGGCAGTTAGGTTGTTCCCAAGTCTTGGCTATTGGGAATAATGCTGCAATGAACATAGGGGTGCGTATATCTTTACGCATTTGTGTTTTCGTGTTCTTTGGATAAATACCCAGAAGCTGAATAGCTGGATCATATGGTAGTTCTACTTGTAATTTTTTGAGGAATCTCCATAGTATTTTCCATAGTGGCTGCACCAATTTGCATTCCCACCAGCAGTCTATGAGGATTCCCTTTTCTCTACATCCTCTCGAACACTTGTTATTTCTTGTCTTGTTAATTATAGCCATTCTGACAGGTGTAAGGCGATAGCTCATTGTAGTTTTGATTTGCATTTCCCTAATAATTGGTGGTGTTGAAAATCTTTTCATATGCCTGTTGGCCATCTGTATATCTTCTTTGGAAAAATGTCTGTTCAGATCCTTTGCTCATTTTTTGATTGGGTTGTTTGTTTGTTTGTTGAAATTATTCTTATTAATTTTTAAATAAAATCTTATATTTAATGAGAGGGAATTAAACATTCTCATTTTCACCATCATTAACCAATTGAACACTGAAACTGGAAAAAAATAACTTGTGTATTTTTTTAAATTATTAAATAAAGGAAATTGTTTGCTTTATTAATTGAACAGAATTAAACAGTGACTTATTGGATGTATCTAATGTGCCAGGCACTTGTGCTATATAATAAACGTGCCAAGAATAGTGAAAAACAGTCCCCGCCTTTAAGAAGTATAAAAATATGGTATAATCAGACATTTCTCCTAGATTCATTGGACAAATTAATTTGATCAGAATACTTAATTTTCTTTACTAAATTACGCTGTGTAAAATCTTAAATTACAACACTGTATTTGACCATTAGTTATTAGATATCTTCTTTAATCACTTTTTTAACGATTTCTAAATTTTGACTTTTCTGGTAATACTGACATTAATCATTTTAAAGATTTTATTTCTTCTTTTCTCCCCAAAGCCCCCCAGTACATAGTTGTGTATTTTTAGTTGTGGGTCCTTCTAGTTGTGGCATGTGGGACTCCGCCTCAGCGTGGCCTGATGAGTGGTGCCATGTCCGCGCCCAGGATTCGAACCAGCGAAACCCTGGACCCTGAAGTGAAGCATGTGAACTTAACCACTCGGCCACAGGGCCCGCCCTGACATTAATCATTTTAAAGGTTCTTTGTATTTTGAACCTTCAAATTCTATAGTACATTAACTGTCCAAGAATTGGGATACACATACATATAGACACACACACACATCCAAATACATATATGAGTAAGTACGTGTGCATGTATATCTTTGATAAGAAAGGATAAACTGTCAGAAGGAGTTGAGAAGAACTAGAGACCAGGAGAATCCATTTCAAGCCTATTTATAATTGTTTTAAAATCAGGTTCTTATGATATCAACAAATAGACCACTCTAGTCTTTCACCTAAGAGAAATATTTGGGCTGGATATATTGATGTAGAGGCCAGTTATATGCCTGTAAATGGTATTTGAAGTCCTGGATCGAATGACATTGCTTGAGGTAACTGTATAGAGCAGGGAGAAAAGAATTAGAAAGGTGGAATCCTGGAACATAGCAAGAGGTGGACAAAGAAGGAGTCCGCGTTAGGAACGTTCATAAGCCAGAAGTGGCTGGAGAACTGAATGAAAGCCTCTGGCAGAAAGACATACCTGAGGCTTCTGCTTCTAGGATCGGAGGTATGGATGGCAACAAAACATTTTGATAGAAAAAGCCTTAATTAAATGACTTGCTGACCCCCTTGTTAAACAACTGATATATAAAAAATTATTTCCCCAGTAAAAAAAGTGTTTCATGCCAAAGGAGTAAACATGATTTAAAACAGAGGAGAAATTGCTTGGAAAAAGTCAGGATTCTGCAAGTAGCTCATTTGGGGCATAATGAAGGTGGGATAGTTCAGGTGGTGTGATTTGTGTCTAAAGAAGGAAATAGGGCCTAATATTTTATCCTAAGGAGTTTGATTTTTTGCATAGCAAGGAGCCAATGAAAGGGGATTTGGGTGGTTTTGTGATCTGAAAAAAAACTCTCAAGTGGAAAATTTTGAAAAGGACCAAACTGAAGATGAAGAAGATAGCAATAGAAGAAAAGATGAAGAGGAAAGCAGTAGGAGTAGGGATAGAGAGGAAAGTGTGTATATGAGTGTTGAGTAGATAAACTCGATATGACTTGGTGTTAGGCACAGCTGACAGAGTGGCTAGGGATCATCAGTGGGGAAGGTTTTAGGAAGAAGGTGGTTAGATTTTGAACCTGTTGAGTTTGGTGATAAAGCCATTCATGATGATGACAAGGAGTATGAGTTTGATGCTGTGAGCAAAGAGAGGTGTCACTGGTCCTTGATTACTGAAATAATAATGATGAAAGTAATGTTAGTCTAAGAGTAGTAGGCAAGGTTGAATCCAAGTGGGAAGGGTGTGGAGGCATAAAGAATACATTTTTGCAGTTACCTAGATGCAGGGTAATTTGTGTCTTTACTAAATTGGTGGTACTGGATGCTCAGCTGGAAAAAAAGACTAATGAGAACTTTCTTGATAAAATAAATAGTAGGTCCAGGTGATAGATTGGTTTGGGAGCTGCATGATAGGAAGAGAAAGGATGAAATTGATATGATTTCTAACTTGGGAGATAAGCACACATAGGAGAAAGGGGGAGGACACCTGGTTTAGGAGGAAAGAGGGATAAATTCACTTTCACATATTTTGAGTTTAAGTTACTGATGGGACAATCAAGTAGAAATGTCCTGAAAGCAAATAGTGATATGAGACTTTGTCTTCTATAAAATATTAGAGTTGGTGAGAGAGATTTAGGAGTAAATAAGTTTACCAGTGCCAATAAGTTTATGAAAGATAGTAGGAGATCAACATTAAAAGAACTTTTGTGAATGCCCATGGTCTGAAGACTGATTAGCGGAAGAGACAGACATAGAAAGGAGTAAGGCAAGTTTCATGCTATTGGAATGAAGACATACGAGTTTTAAGAAGAGGTAGAAACAGTGAGGAAAGACTATTGAAGTTAACGATATAAATCTTGGTGATCTTTAGAAGAGCAATTTTTGTCAAGATGTGAGGATGAAAGCCACAGTGCATGAAGTTAAGTGAAATGAATATATAGAAAGTAGAGCACATAATGAAAAAGGAGGAGGAGATCTATAATACTAAAAAGAGTAGCATGAAAAACCCTTTATTTTTTTGAGATGGAAAGACCTGAACAAGTTTAAAAGTAGAAAGTAAGGACCCAAAGAAGGGAATGTATGGATGTGAAAGGAATGAATAACAGTGGTGTGGCCCTGGTCCTAGAGAAGATAGAAAAGACACTGTTCAAGGTAGAGATAGAAGCATTAGCTTTAGAATGAGAAGCAAAACCTTTTTTTGAAATCAGAGTGAAGAATGAGAAGGAAGGACGGATAAAAATGGGGAAATCATGGAGTTGCTTATGTCAGAAGATTTGTTTTCTCTGTTAAGGACAAGGTGAGATCGTCTCCTGAAGATACTATTATGGACTAAATAAAATGTCATTGAAGACTTCTGTTCGAGAAAATAATGATTGTAAACTTACACAACTCTTATAATCTTATTTTATGTGATATATTGTTCATTATGATAAATCACAAATATATCCTATTTTTTCTTTTATTTCAGCAAAAAATCAGTTAGAATTCTGTTGTCATATGCTTCGAGGAACAATAGACCCAAAGGAGCCGTCCACCTATGAATATGTGAAATTTATAGGAAATTTCAAATCTTTAAACAGTGGTGAGTTAAAATGCTTCTCTTACAATGTATTTTAACTTGGTATGCTTTTAAACTCTTAAAGATGTAGATATTTGAACATGAATAAAAACTAGATTTTCCTGGAGTAACTGAAGATTCATATTTCCTTATTGTTTTAGTATCCACTTCAGCACACAATGGTTTTGAAGGAACTATACAACGCACACACAGGCCTTCTTATGAAGATAGAGTTTGTTTTGTAGCTACTGTCAGATTAGCTACACCTCAGTTCATCAAGGTACGTTTCTAATTTTATTTCCAAAAGGAGATTTCACTTCACAGTGTGAGAACTATTTTTATGTAATTTTTTGTTGTTTCCAGAATGACTGAAACTTCCTGCAAACATTGAAGTAGTAATGGCCACTAGTTGTTAAATATACATGAGTATGGTAATTTTGAAACAAATAATGAGTTATCAAGGTATATATTAAATTATATAACTAATTTTTAAGTATATATCCTTGCAGTTAACCGATGGCTATATATCACCATTGTCCTGCCTTTGTGCAAAATTTTAGGGTGCTGTTTTGTATAGTCCAGAATCTACATTAAAGGGGAAAGGCCAAAAGTCTAGTTTTAAAAGATCGTTTTTGAAATTTTCTTTGGAAATATATAAGTGGCTTTTTACTGCATATAATCTACCTTTTCATTTAAAAAATTCTATTAAATAATTTATTTTTATTTCCTGGCCCCAAGAAGTAGGTGATCAGTAGGAAAGTGGGGAAATGAAAGAGTTCAACCGTTAGAAAGTGTCTGGAAATAAGTCAGGCTAAGATTTTAAATTTTAGAGAGACACAGTATTATAGGACAAAGTACTGAACTAGAAGTTAGAGGATCTTAAACCAGTCTTGCTCTGCTTGTTTTGCTCTTAGGAAATAACAGCAGTGGCTAACATTTATTAAGTGCTTACTACATGCTGTATATTCTGTGTGCATTATGTCATTTAATTCTTATAACAAACCTATAAGATAGATGCTAGTATGATCCTATTTTGTATATAAGGAAACTGGTGCTTAGGGAAGTTAAGTTACTGGCTCAAAGTCACAGCTATTAAGAGGTAGAACTAGGATTGATTCTCAAAGCCCAAGCTCTTAATCACTACATTGGGCTATTGAAGGTTATTCAAGGACACAGAGGCAGAAGGAATACATTGTTGAGTTACTGTGTCAGGAATGGGCAGGGATGGTGGGAGACGACGCTTGAAAAGTAAGGAGAGGCCAGAAATGAAGTGTGTTTCTTTCTTTGTTGTTTCTTTCTCCATGCTGAAGAATTTAAACTTTATCTTAACAGAATGAGAAACTATTAAGGTTTTTAAGCAGGGAAGTTATAAAATCACATTAGAGTGTTAGTAAGGTAATTATGGCCAGCACAGAAGATGAATTGAAGGACAGGGAGACTTTTTGGGGGAGATGCTGTGGCAATAATGTGAGCTGATGATGGCAAGGGTCTAGAGTCTAAACTAAGACCCTGAAGATGCATGGGAGTGAATAGATTTTTTTAAAAACTTAGAAGGTAAAATTCACAGGATTTAGTAGTGGCCATTAAAATGGTGAAAGTGAAAATGAAAGAGTGTGTTGTGACTATCACATTTCTAGACTAATGGCACACAGCACAGGTATTGCCTCCATTAGTGAGATGGAAGACTGTAACTGGGTGTGAGGAGTTAAGGCAGTTAGTTCATTTTAGGACATACTGAGTTTTTAATGTGTAGGGACATCCAGACAGTTGGAAATATAGAACTGTAATTCAGGAGAGAGATCTGAATTCAGAATTAGGGTTTATAGGCATGTGAGTGAATAGAGAAATGTGTAGAAGGAGAAGTACTCCCCCAGAAGCCTACATATATTTATTTACTTATCATTTAGTACTGTTATTCTTTAATACCAGAAAATAAAAATGTGTTAAAAAATTGTTCGGGAAAAAGTTATCTAATAATGACTTATAGCTAACAATATCTAGGATTGTTCTAAGGACACAGAAATGTATTTCTAAATTCTAATTATTAATTTATTTGTAGGAAATGTGCACTGTTGAAGAACCTAATGAAGAGTTTACATCTAGACATAGTTTAGAATGGAAGTTCCTATTTCTAGATCACAGGTAACTCTATTTTTAAGTTCCATAAAAAGTAATTGTCATATTATATAATTCTTGAAATTAATGGATTTCAAGGACAAACTTTTTCTAATCAGGACATTCAGATCCATTATCCATTTTTTCAGAAAATAAAAGTTCCCCCCCAAGTTGATTTCTAGTTGGAGTATTTCTTCTTATGGAAAAAGTTATAATATTAATTGTTTTATATGTAATTTAGGGCACCACCCATAATAGGATATTTGCCATTTGAAGTTCTGGGAACGTCAGGCTATGATTACTATCATGTGGATGACCTAGAAAATTTGGCAAAATGTCATGAGCACTGTAAGTAGATTTTGTTATTTCTGGTGATAATAGCTATCTTTAATCATATAAATAACTTGTATTAATAGAAGGTGATAAAATACAAACTTATAACCATTTTTGTATTTTTGAAATATACAAGATTTTACTTTATGTGTATAACCAATCCAAGAGGAATCCTAGATCAAGTTTAAATTAAAGTTGTTCCTATTTTACATATTTCAGTTTGTAATAGGAAGTGCAGTTTTATAACAGGCATCTAATAAACCTTGTTCTGAAGTCTGTAAGCTCTACATCTGGAGTAAAAGAAGTAGATTCCTTTGAAAATTGTAATAGTATGCTAAACTATTAGAAGACTATTTTATACATTCTGATTTCTAGGCATGTAAGTCTGCCCAGGAGGTAGGTACACATTTAAAGAATCTCTTTTAGAAAGCTCATAGTGAGTGCTTAATGTTACCTGCTGTTATTTTTACTAGCAGCAGAAACATTATCACCTCATTGTGCCTGCACTCTTCTAAACAGTTTATGTACATTATCTCCATTATTCATCACCACAGTTCTAGAAATTAGATACTATTATTATCTCCATGAGTAAACTGAGCACAGTAAGGCTAAGTAATTTACTCACAATCTCGTAACTCATTGGTGGCAGAGACAGGATTAGTCTAGACCTACCATTTTACCACATGCTGTTCCTGCTTTGTTTCAGAAGTTTGTTTTAATGATAGGTTTTATTTGCTTTTCTGATCCTCCTCCCCAAATCCTACCCTCTTGGGTGCCCTCTAAAGCTTCATTAGATATTTAAGATACTTTCATGATGTCTTAGGCTGGTCTAATAAACCCCTCTATATGAAAATAAAGCATGTTATATAATAGCATCAACTATATGGAAGATTTTCAGAGTAAAGTCATTTCAGCACAAAAGAAAACATAATTCACTCCAAGTGATATTGGCTCTATGCTCCATGATGTATTGAAAAGATCTGACACTTCTGTTAACTAGCTGGGTAATTTTGGACAAGCAATTTAAATTTTATAGACTTTCATTTCCTCATTAAAAGTGAGAGTGAGTGGGGGGCTGGCCCCGTGGCTGAGTGGTTAAGTTCGCGCGCTCCGCTGCAGGCGGCCCAGTGTTTCGTTGGTTCGAATCCTGGGCGCGGACATGGCACTGCTCATCAGACCACGCTGAGGCAGCGTCCCACATGCCACAACTAGAAGAACCCACAACGAAGAATACACAACTATGTACCGGGGGGGCTTTGGGGAGAAAAAGGAAAAAATAAAATCTTTAAAAACAATAAAAAAAAGTGAGAGAGTGAGATTCCTGACCAGCAGTTCCTAAGGTTTGTTCCACTAAATACCCGTCCATTAAAAACAGATTTTGTGGTCAAGGAAGACTGAGAAACACTTCATAATCAATCCCCACCCCTGTTCTCCCAGACTCTTGACATGTGTTAGCATACTCAAGGTTTTGAGAAGACTAAATAAACATATTTAACAAAGTTTCCCAAATTAATTTAACCACAAAACCTACTTTTTGCTTAATCTCTGTCAAAAGCCTTCAGAACTTACAATCTACAGAGAATATTTTGAGAAATACTGTACTAATCAGTTCTTCACTCAATTAAGTTATTCTCATTTTGGTTTGTTAAGGTATAGAATTAAATCCCTCAAAGATGCTGTACATGCCAGGGTACCCATGGGAAGAAAACTCTGGGGTGATTGCTTACCGCTATTATCTTCAGTAAATCTTGGCAGGAGGAAGTCAATAGTGAATAAGCTTGAGTATTTGAAAATGTGTTTTGTATGAAAGTATTTAAGACCAGCAATAACAGGCTATAAATTGGGCACTGTGGAAGGTGTGTTCATTGCTTGGGACCTTAAGCTGTCTCTGCAGAATAGCATTTTCCTATAATTGATATATGTGTTATTGAAAAGCCAGAAGAATAATTATATATATAAATTTAGATGTAAATGATAACTTTGGCTAAAAAACAGATTCATAACTAATAGTATGAATCAAAAAACATTTTTCTCTTTTCTTCTTAGTAATGCAATACGGGAAAGGCAAATCATGTTATTATAGGTTCCTGACCAAAGGACAACAGTGGATTTGGCTTCAGACTCATTATTATATCACTTATCATCAGTGGAATTCAAGGCCAGAGTTTATTGTTTGTACTCACACCGTAGTAAGGTAGTAATTCTTTTATAGAGTTTCTGAATTATAGAAACATTCATAGTGGTTTCCACAACGTAATTTTTATGCATGACTTTTTAATGAACTACAAAGTGATTTTATTCCCCATTTTTGATATATATTTTCAATATAATATTAAATTTGCTTACAAGCATTATATAGAAATAGAATACAGGGATATATAGATATGTAATTCTTGACATAAATTTTATGGTTTAGAGCAAAGTTGTAACTATCTTTCATGTACCAAAGTCAATCATGTAAAAGGAAAACTGGAGTACATAAGCATACTCTTCCTTTATTTAATTCCTCTTAGTTTAAGTACTTTGTAGTTATGGATCATTTACAGTAGCATAAAACACTTTTGAGATAATTAGAAAAATGCAATTTGAATTAATATAGTACACTATAGATATGTTTTACATTTGTGTAGCATATAGAAAATAGTCTGAAACTAGTGATGAATAAGACACGTAACCAACACTGAATGATTGCACCTCTGCAGTATTTTAAATGAATGATGAAACACTAAAATTCTGTTCTATTTGTAGTTATGCAGAAGTTAGGGCTGAAAGACGACGAGAACTTGGCATTGAAGAGTCTCTTCCTGAGACAGCTGCTGACAAAGTATGTATCTTACAGTTTTTAAAAAATTATTTAATTTCTTCCCAATGAAAGACAAGGCTCAGTAATTTACAGGAAAATTAGTTTTCAAATATTTCATTTCTTCACTTGTGACAAGGTTATAATTATACTTTACTGTTTATTTTTATTTTAAATTTAATATTTTAAACCTTCATCTGCTTCTAAAAAGAGATTTGAAGGGCCTGCTATTTAGTGATAATTGGGTGAGAGACATGTATGATCTCAGATTTAAATTACCATTTATTAATTGCCTAGGATGTGATAGACTCTGGCTAGAGTCTTTCTATAAATTATGAAATGTCATTTATTCTTCAGACATTGTTATCTGGTAGGTAATATCCCCACTTTGAAAATACTGAAACTGAGGTTTTAAGAGGGTGCAAAAAACCTCCCCTAAAGACACATGGCTGGAAACTCTGGTTTCTCTTTTCATTCCATCAGGTAGAAGTGTAGTGTATTAGTTATCTATTGCTGTGTAACAAAACTTGGTGTAAAATAACACACATTTATGATCTCAAAGTTTCTGTGGGTCAAGGATCCAGGCACAGTTTAGTTGGGCCCTCTGCTTCAGAACTGGTCATGAGGCTACAGTCAAAGTGTCAGCCCAGGGTCTCTCACAGGCTGAAATCAAGGTGTCAGTGGGGGTCATAGTCATCTCAAGGTTCAGCTAGGGCAGAAGCTATTTCCAAGCTGGCTCAGTGGTTTTTAGAAGGATCAGGTTCCTCTTGGGCAGTTGGACTAAGGGCCTTTAGTTCCTTGCTGACTGATTGCCAGAGACAACCCTCAGTTTCCAGGTGGCCCTTTCCATCAGAGCAAGTATGGAAGAAGATCCAGGGAGAGAAAAAAACCAGCAAGATGAAAGCCAGGGTCTTTTGTAACCTAATCGCAGAGTGGTATCCCATCACTGTTGTCTGTTCTTTTTATTAGAAGCAAATCATTAGGTCCAGCCTACACTAAAGGGGAGGGATTATATAAGGTTATGAATAGCACGAGGTGGAAATCATTGTAAGCCATGTTAGAAGTTGCCTATAACAGGTATTTTTGACATATGGAGAATAAGTGGAATGAGAAGAGTCAATCTATTAAAAAGTGAGTTAAGTAGGCAGCATGCCAAGGGACAATATGGGAGGTATTGTTCAGTCATTCAGCAAACCTTAAGTACCTTCCATGTGCCAGGAACTACTGGATATGGCTCTAGATGCTGAGAATACAGCAGTGAATAACACAGGCAAATTCTCTACTCTCATGGATCCTATGTGAAAGAGTTTTCCCAAAGAGGCTTTGTATGATTAGAGGAAGAAGATCCAGTACGTTTTAGTAAAAGAAATTTTCTGAGAAAAATGCTTAAATCTAGGGTTCCTTGAAATGAGGACCATTATAGAAACTGAAGTATATAGAGATTGTTGCTCCTTGCTGCTTTTTCCCTCATGCCGGTATCTAGTCCTACTAAATTTAACTAGCCCTACTTCCAAAATATACTCCAACTATGTCCACTTTCTCGCCATGTTTACTATTACCACTGTGATCCTCTTGGAGTTTAGGAAAGAGGTCCCATTGAGATATATTTTTGAGAAACTTCAGTGTGTAGATGGTTTTAAAGTCATGAATCTAAGTGTGATCACCAAGGGAATGAGTGTAGAGAGAGAAAATGAGCAACGACTAAGCAGTGGGGCACTCCAACATTGAGAGATTAGGGAGAACCAATCACAGAGGAGACCAAGGGGAAATATCCAGTGAAGCAGGAATAAAACCAGGAAACTAAGCTGTCCTAGAAGCCAAGAAAAGAAAGTGTATTAGTGAGGAGTGAATAGTCAGCTTTGTCAGATTAAGCTGAAATAGGTTAAATAGACAAGCACTGAGAATTGAGCACTAGGTTTAACAACATCTAGTCATTGATCAGGAAGGACAGATTGGGTGGAATAGTAATATGGATGAAAGCCTGATTAGAGTGGGTTTAAAAGAGAATTTTCTGGGACAAGGGGAATTAGAGATAGTGAATAAGGAGAGGTTTTACTACAAAGAGGAGAGAAATGGGGCAGTATTAGGAAGAAGTGGACTTAAAAGAAGTTTTTGCTTTTTAAGGTGGGAGAAATAATAGCATGTTTGTATACTGGTGAGAATGGTCTTATGGAGAGAGAAAAATTGGTGATAGGAGAGAGAGAGGTAGAAATGCTAGCACAGCGTTCTTAAGTAGGTGAGAGAAGATGAGATCTAGTCCATAAGTGGGCAGATTGGGTTTAAGGGGGACAGATTATTCAGCTATACAGCAGGAGCTGGCAACTGTAGCCTTTAGGCCAGATCTGGCCCTCTGCCTAGTTTTGTAACACCCACAAGCTACAAATGTTTTTTACATGTTTTTTTTTCTTTACAGATTGGCACCTGAGCTAACATCTGTTGCCAATCTTCTTTGGTTTTTTGTTTTCCTTCTTACCCTGAAAGCCCCCCAGTACATAGTTGTATATTCTTAGTTTTAGGTCCTTCTGGTTGTGCTATGTGGAAAGCCACCTCAACGTGGCTTGATGAGCGGTGCCAGTGCCACACCCAGGATCTCAACTGGTGAAACCCTGGGCCGCCGAAGCAGAGCATGCGAACTTAACCACTTGGTCACAGGGCCAGCCCCCTTACATGTTTTTAAGTGATTAAAAAAAAAAAGAAGAAGAATAGTGTTTTGTGACACATGAAAATTATATCAAATTCCACAGCCCCACTCAATTGTTTATATACTGTTGCCAATGGCTGCTTTTGTGCTACAACAGCAGAGTTGCATAGTTGGAACAGAGACTGTATGGCCCACAAAGCCTAAAAGTTTGCTGATCCCTGATCTGTAGTAACAGGAAGAAAAGTAGAATATGTGAGTACGGATGCTGGTAGGTAAGTTGATGGAGTGGTGGGAGCTTGTAGCAGTACTCTTCACTAAAATAGGAACAGAGTTACCAGCTAAGAGTGAGGTTAGGAGAGGAGCTGTTGGAGGTTTGAGAAGAGAGGAAAAGGCATTAAATGGTTTTCTAGGACAGCAGGAAAGTGAACGGACAGAGAATTTTAGTCTGTTTGGCAGGCAGAATTAAGGAACCACTTGAGGTTCTTGGTCATTAATTTAGAGAGAGAACAGTCATCATATTGTGTTTCTTCAACCATGGTCAGCTATGCAGGAAAAGATGTAGAACAGGTTAAAAATTGGGTTTAACCAGCTTTGGGATTTTTCTAAGGGAGTGTGGTGAAGGGAACTAGGAGCAAGGGAGTTGATGATACATGCAAGGCCGTGGTTATGATGATTAATCATGAATTTAAGCTGGGTAAAGAGGGGAGAGAAAACAAAGTAAGAGAGTGATTGTGAAAATATGGTAGAATAAATGTATTTTAGGCTCCACCAAAGGATTACTGGAGTTGAGATATTAAAGAGAATGAGTAGGAAATATGGAAAATGGTCGTCAAAGAACAGGATGTTTGAAATTTAGATAATGGAAGGTTTATTCTTGTTGGTAATGACTGTGGTCTTACCACAGTCTCCCAGTCTACGGTATGAATATATGAATATTGATAATCTGGGAATTAAGGATTATTGAGGGTAACACTGAGCCAGAAGTGAAAATTTTAATTCAGGTACTTAGGAGTGACCACACGGTCAGTGGATGACTGCAACAATGAGAGAGAGTGAGTTACATGGCGTAGTAATGTGAGATTCAAAGCTGTGAGTTTTAGGAAAAGAAGAAGGGAAAATTTTCTGAAAAGAGCAGTAGGAGTACTTCTATTTCACCTTCAGAGCAGAGGTCTGAGGGTTGTGAGAGAGAAAACAGCCACCACTTGAGACCTACAAGGAAAATTGTATCCTCCAGGGAGATCTGGGTTTTAGTTAGAACAAGCCAGTGAAGGAATGCTCAGAGATGAGGTTGAGAATACAGAACATTTTGCTGATTTTGGATACTCAAGGCAGGCAGAAGGTTTCAGGAGCTGGGAGGCAGTGGGAGATGGAGACAAAAATAGAGGGTGTGAAGAGCAGTGAGAGTGCAGGACATAAGGCCTTGTGTCACATCACCCTTTTTTTTCCCTTTATGGTATGAGTAACTTTGAAATCTTATTGTTTATTTATGTGTGTGTATGTATGTGTACTCATGCTCCCCATTCTCTGTAGCTTCCTAGAATAAGAACAGGGAATTGTTTCTCATTCACTGCTGCATGTGGAAGGCCTGTGATAGGCCCTCTCCTTGACACTTCCCTCTATCATAATGAGGAGGAAAGGGAAGATGAGTATATTGGTATACCTGGTGTATTAGCAGGTAGAGTTATAAATTTGGCAGTGGCAAGTATTCTCATCTATATAAGGCGAGTCTATCGGTTCAGAGAGGAGACAGAAGTTTCAGAACAGTGGGAAAGATAGAGAATAATTGTGAAGAGTAAGAAAGTGAGCCTGCCCAAAAAACTTAATGTTTCTGCCTAGTGCTGAGTGTCCATTTTAGTTTGGTGATCATTTTTGGTTGACCATAATTGTTGCCAAAGGAAAATTTGAGAAGTGAGCTGGAAGGATGGGATAGGAAAGTATGGTTTAAAGTGGGATTCAGTTTGTGCTTTTAGAGGTGCTACAGTATCTGGTAATGACAGGTGTAGAGATGGAATGATTGAGGTAGAGTGGAGGAGAAAGGTTTATTAGAGATGAGGAGTTCCTAGAAAGCTGAGAGGCCAGGACAGGATATTGGATGAGTCATCCATATGGATATTGAAGTTCTGGAGAAAGGTCAGAGGTGGAGGGAAGAGGGAGAGTTTCAGCAGTCCAATGCTGAGTCCCAAAGATGCTTACAGTACTTTGTGTGTAAACTAAAATGTCATCTTTATTCTGTTTCTTTTTTTTCCTATACTTTCTTTTTTTTTACTGTGGTGAAATACGAAATAACATTTACCACTTTTACCAATTTTAATTGTACAATTCAGTGGCATTAAATACATCCACACTGTTATGCAACCATCACCACCATCCATCACCAAAATTTTTTCATCTTCCCAAACTGAAACTCTATACCATTAAACAGTAACTCCCCATTCCCTCCTTCCTCCAGCCCCTGGCAGCTACCAATCTACTTTCTGACTCTGTGAATTTGACCCTATAGGTATTGCATATAAATGGAATCATACAGTATTTTTCCTATTGTAACTGGCTTATTTCACTTGGCATAATGTCCTCAAGTTTCGTCCGTGTTGTAGCATGAGTCAGAATTTCCTTCCTTTTTAAGGCTGAATAATCTTTCATTGTATGTATATGCCACGTGTTGTTTATCCATTCATCTGTTGATAGACACTTGGGTTGCATTTATCTTTTGGCTATTGTGAATAATGGTGCTATGAACATGTATGTACAAATACCTGTTTGAGTCCCCGCTTTCAATTCTTTTGAGTACATACCCAGAAATGGAATTGCTGGATCATATGGGAATTCTATGTATTTAATTTTTTGAGGAAGTGTCATACTGTTTTCTATAGTAGCTGCACTATTTTACATTCCCATTAATAGTGCACGAGGGTTCCAATTTTTCCATATCCTTGCCAACACTGGTTATTGTCTATTTTTTTTTGATAATTGCCATCCTGATGGGTGTGAAGTGCTATTTCATTGTGCTTTTGATTTGCATTTCCCTAATGATTAGTGATGTTGAGCATCTTTTCATGTGTTTATTGACCATTTATCTATCTTCTTTGGAGAAATATCTATGTAAGACTTTTGTCCGTTTTTTAATTGAATTTTTTAATTTATTTTTTATTTTTTTTGCTGTTGAGTTTTATGAGTTCTTCATACTGGGTATTAATTCTTTATCAGATAAATGATTTGCAAATGTTTTCTCCCTTCAGTGGGTTGCCTTGCTACTCTGTTCATAGTGTCCTTTGATGCACTTTTGTTGCCTGTGCTTTTAGTGTTATATCCACGAATTCATTGCTCAATCCACTGTCATAAAGCTTTTCCCCTTTTCTTCTATAAGTCTTATAGTTTTAGCTCTTATGTTTACGTCTTTGAAACATTTTGAGTTAATTTTTATGTATGGTATAAGGTAAGAGTCCAATATCATTCTTTTGCATCTCGTTTCTTTAAATAGAGAATGAAGCCAAAACTTTGTTGCTATAGAAAATAAATGTTCATTTCTTTACCTACTATTACACGGGTACCTTTGCCTTGTTGTGGGTAAAAATTTGATTGGGGGGAGGAGCGGTAAGCAAGCAGTATTGCTAATTTGGGATCTCTGAACTGAACCACAAGAAAACATTTATTTTACTCTGTCTCCTTAGGGCCAAGATTCTGGGTCTGATAATCGTATAAACACAGTCAGTCTCAAGGAGGCATTGGAAAGATTTGATCACAGCCCAACCCCTTCTGCTTCCTCCCGGAGTTCAAGAAAATCATCTCACACAGCAGTCTCGGACCCTTCCTGTGAGTACTGTAGCTTGAAAGCAGACTTCTTTAGAGAGAGTGCTTCTAAATTGTGTTACTGGTACCAGCATTTTTCATTACATGCTGCTTTAAAATGATAAGTTTTTACATTTCTGAAATATATTAACCTTTACAGTGAGCAAGAAGCCCATTGCTCACATTTAGTAAAGAATTAAGTTTATGAAGTAGCCTATAAAATATGTAGGTAGTAATGTTGGTATTAAATTTTTTATCATCCCTCAGAAAGAAAGCAAAACTATTTTTTTCTTTTCTACTGGTAGAGCCAGTAAGTGTTCCTTAAGCTTGCTTTTTGAAAGGTATTTTTTAGTGCCTTGTCTTTATGAAAACTCGCATAATTGTCATTTAAATTAGTAAACTTTATTTTTTAAAGAGCTTAGCACTTTTATTTCTTAGGATATTAAAACTATATATAATAAGGAAAAAGGGGGTTGTTTGAACTGCTCAGCATCTGGGTAGAACATCAAAGAGGTTAAACACAGAAGTTCTAAAATCTTAGGAAGAAAATTTTCCCGTTAGAGCTATTTCTCTTTTTAAAAACATTTTATTTAGTTGTTAAGGACACTTAAAATGAGATCTGTCCTCTTGAATTTTTAAGTGTATAACACTTGATTGTTGACTGCACAGCAGATCTCTAGAGCCTATTCATAGTGCTTAACTGAAACTTCATGCCCATTGATTAGTTAACTCCCTATTTCCCCCTCCCCCAAGCCCTTGCACCATTCTGCTCTTTGATTCAATGAATTTGACTATTTTACCTCATATAATGGAGTCATGCAGTACTTGTCTTTCTACCATTGGCTTATTTCACCCAGCATAATTTCTTAAGGGTTCATCCATGTTGTTGCATTTTGCAGAATTTCCTTCTTTTTTAAGGTTGAATATAGATGTATTCCATTGTATGTATATACCACATTTTGTTTATCCATTCATCTGTCAATAGACATTTAGATTATTTCCACATCTTGGCTGTTGTGAATAGTGCTGCAGTGAACACAAGAGTGCTAATATCTCTTCGAGATCCTGATTTTAATTCTTTTGGATAAACACCCAGAAGTGGGATTCCTGGATCATATATGGTAGTTCTATGTTTAATTTTTTTGAGAAACCTCCATACTGTTTTCCACAGTGGCTGCACCATTTTGCATCCCCACCAACAGTGTGCAAGGATTCCAGTTTCTCTGCATTCTTGCCAATACTTACTTTTTGGTTTTTTGGTAATAGCCATCCTGACAGCTATGAGGAGATATCTCATTGTGGTTTTGATTTGCATTTCCATGATGATTAGTGACTTTGAGCATTTTTTCATATACTGCTTGGCCATTTGTATGTCTTCTTTTGAAAAATGTCTATTCAAGTTCTAAGGCCATTTTTTAATTGAGTTATTAGGTTTTTTACTGTTGAGTTATAGATGTAGTAAACATTTTTATGTTTCAAGTTTTCCTATTTCAAATATTTTCTTTATCTTAAAAAAGAAATAATTAAAATGAATCATCTTATTGTCACAGACTTCACTTTTATTGAATGATTCAGAAAAATTTTCATCGAAATGCATTTTGAGACTAATCTTTGAAAACTGTATTTTATAAAGTACTAATGCTATTCTGTTTTTGTTGACTAATCTCAGCAACACCAACAAAGATCCCAACGGATACTAGCACTCCTCCCAGACAGCATTTACCAGCTCATGAAAAGATGGCACAAAGGAGGTCATCATTTAGTAGTCAGGTAAACTTTTTTAGTTAGTATTCTTTTGAATAAAGATATAGTAAAAGGGGAAAAAATCATCTAAATCTTCAGAAATTCATTGATTCATTATCCCTTTCTATAAAGATCAAAGTAGTTGTTGATAACACTCAAGATCTTTCCTTTTTTGAGAATTAGTTGTCAACATATCAATCCTTTTGATTGTCTCTCAGGTAAAATGTCAGATTTTTTTTCACTTATGAAAAGCTGGTAATTTAGAGCTATTTTATATCTAATTTCAAATGCTAATCACTTTCAGTTAAGTCCAGTCAGCTTTTATTTGAGAGCCCACGCAAGGTAATGTGGCAGAAACCTTGGAAATAAAAAGATAAATAGTGTTTATCTATGAACTGATGTTTCCAGTGTAGAAAGGGAGAAGTGCCTGTGCTCAGCTTGAAAAATCTGAGGCAGATTGTAATCCAGTTATAAAGATACCATGGTGATAATTTTGGTGGAAGTTCTCATGTATGGGAACAATCATTACTCCAGTGTTATTTTTTATTTTGCTTCTAGTCCATAAATTCCCAGTCTGTTGGTCAGTCATTGACACAGCCAGTGATGTCTCAAGCTGCAAATTTACCAATTCCACAAGGCATGTCCCAGGTATTTTTTGTTTGTTTGTTTCAGTTGAGTATTTTAAAATAAATTGTTTTTAAGCTAATGTAGATTTTTAAAAATATATACTTATAGATGCAGTAACTCTCAACAGTGGGCATTTAGAATATATGGGGATATTTTTGATTGTCAATAATTGTGGGATACCACTAGCCCATAGTAGGCAAGGACAAGAGATGCTAATTGTCTTTCCGAATGCATGACAGTTTTGTACAACAAAGAATTGTCCTGCTTAATATGCTGTAACACCCCTATTGAGAAACACTATAGACAGAAAGATATTAAAGATGAAATATAGGTGTTTATTTTGTTCTTCCTATGGATATTGGAAGAATGAGTAATTTTATTCATATATTCATTCATATATTGAGTTTCTTGTCTTGCTGGTGCTGGCAGTATAAATATTTAATATCTATACTAAAAGATTTTATTACATCTAGGGGGAATGACAGATAACTACAATACAATATTATGTAGTCTGTGCTCAAGGTGTGTAGGTTGATATGTAAGAACATTACATGGGCCCTTAATGCAGCCTGAGAAAGTGAAGGATTGAAAGAATTGTTGCTTGAGCTGAGTCCCAAAGGAGGCCTAAATATAGAAATTAGCAACACAAAGGAGAGATAATACAAAAATGACACGAAGTTACTTTTGATCATAACTTCCAAACCTGTAACTTATGACTCTGTACTCATTCAGTGCCTCAAACACGTTAAAAATACTACTAAGTAGTGGTAAAAATAATCCAAAATTTTCTGACTGTTTTGTTTGGCATTAAATATACCTTGACTTAACAGTATCTTAATTTCAAATAATGTTAGTTAACAGTAGGTAAAAAAATCTTTTTCTAAAAATACCTTTATCTTATATAGTTATTATTTAAATTATACATATATAATTATAGCTGTTATATGACACTTGAACAAATATGCTCTACATTACCTACATGTCAAAATCTTGCAACATATGATCATGTAAGGTGTTTATGACAGCACAGTATTACTAAATATTATCTGTAACTGCCATAGTTTTTATCAGCATTGAGTCCTCAAATGCTTTTTATTCTGAAGGTTAACAGAATTTTTATGCAAATATTTAGACATACTTTCAATATTATTAATTTATTAGTTTCAAGATACTGAGTAAGCATATCTTAACATTTTAAAGGGATATTTTCATGCAATAAATAATATCTACTATGTTAATAAGTATTTAAATCTCATTTCATTCAGTGATAAAGCCAAACACTTTGCCTCTTAGGTCTGTGACTTTATTTCCTGTCATTCTGCCTTCTGTGTTTGCTTCTATTTTCTTATTTGTACTTAACAGAAATCCTTTAAGTGGTGACAATGTAATGTTTACCTGAAGGTATAAATAACTTCAGTTAGGATAAAATATATTTGTATGACATCAATATAACATTTTGAATAATATAAAAAAGTGAAGGCAAATGACAGCGTCTTGGTGGAGTGAGCTCTCTCCATGAACTCTCCCCTCCGCAATACAATGAAAAGGACATTCATATTCCAACAGAGGACATCCACAGAACACAAAAGATGTCTTAGAGACCCACACAGCCATACATTGGAAGGTGGAGGTGCTGGAACTGCCCTCAGAGGAGGTGGAACGGGCCTAGGGGAAAGTCCCCTACTGAGGTGACTATCATGGGAGTGACTTCATCAAGCCAACACCCTAGGAGAACAGATAGCGAGGACATAGAAATAAGCCCCCAAGAACACGTAGGAGAAAGAAAGCACCCCTCCTCGCACCTGCCCCAGCACCCAACTCCAGCACCTGAGCAGAATGCAGAGGGCTCAGAACATACAGCTCTTGAACCCCACCCAGTGGTGGTAGGTGGAAATGGCAATCAAATAATACCACAATGTGGAAGAACAAAGCCATGCCCTCTAGCAGTATCAAAAATTATAGTAAATCTCCAGCCCAGAAGGAAAATGACAAGTACTCAGAAATCAATCCTGAAGACACAGAAATATATAATCTAAATGACGGAGACTTCAAAATAGCTTTCATAAAAAAACTCAACGAGTTAAAAGAGAATGTAGAGAAACACGTCAGCGAGTTCAGGAGCTACTTCACAAAAGAGATTAAAGCTATAAAGAATTAGAACCAATCAGAAATATTGGAGATGAAAGACACAATGGATGAGATAAAACAAAATATGGATTCCCTAAATTCTAGAGCTGATATCAATGAGGAACGAATCAGTCTAATTGAGGACAGATGTTGAAATGTTCCAGGTAGACGAGGAGAGAGGACTAAGACTAAAAAGAAATTAAGAAAGTCTCTGAGAAATATCCAACTCAATTAGGAAATGTAACATAGGAATTATAGGTATTCAAGAGGGAGAAGATAAGGAGAATGGAGCAGAAACCTTGTTCAAAGAAATAAGAGCAGAGAACTTCCCACACCTGGGGAAGGAGATGGAAATCCACATGAGAGAGGCAGGTTTCCTAATTATGTCAATGTAAAAAGACCTAGTGCAAGGCATATAGCAGTGAAACTGGCAAAAGTGAATGACAAAGAAAGAATACTAAGGGAAGCACGGCAGGAGAAAATAACCTACAAAGGAACTCTTATCAGGCTCTGAGTGGATTTCTCTGCAGAAACCTTACAGGCTAGGAGAGACTGGAATGACATATTCAAACCTTTGAAGGACAAAAACTTTCAGCCCAGAATACTCTATCCAGTGAAAATAATCCTTCAGATATGAGGAGAAATAAAAACTTTCCCAGATAGATAAAAGCTAAGAGAGTTTGTAGCTACAAAACCATGCCTACAAGAAATCCTCAAGAAGGCCCTCATACCTGAAAAGAAAAAAAGGAAGAAAGGGGTTACAAAGTACAGAATAAGGATATAAATAGGTAGACAAAATCAAAAAATTTTAGCTGTACTTCAGAACAGGTTAGCAAATACTCAAGTATAACACTAAAGATAAAGGGAAGGAAAAAACAAAGATAATCTTGTCATTTTAACCACAAACTCACAACACAACATGGAGTAAGAGGTAACCAAAACAACATAGAAGAGGAAGAGGAGGGGACTGAATTAGTTTAATATAAGGAAATAAGAGGCCATCACAAAATGGGTTATCTTATCTACTAGATTTTGCATACAAACCTCATGGTAACCACTAAATAAAAAAGCAGAACAGAGACACAAATAATAAATAAGGAGAAAACTAAGAAACCCCGCATAAAGAACTATGTAACCCAATTGGTAGGCTGAAATACATGGGACGAGAAACACAGGAAATGCAGGAGAATTGGAAAACAAGTGATAAAATGGCAGCATTAAGCCCTCATATATCAATAATCACCCTAAATGTAAATAGATTGAATTCTCCAATAAAAAGACGCAGAGTGGTGAGATGGATTAAAGAACAAGACGCAACAATATGCTGCCTCCAGGAAACAAATCTTGGCTCCAATGACAAACAGAGGCTCAGAGTGAAGAGATGGAAGACGATGCTCCAAGCTAATGGCAAACAAAAGAAAGCAGGTGTTGTAATACTTTTATCAAAGTAGACTTCAAGATAAGAGAGATGAAGAGAGACAAAGGGGCAGTATGTAATGATCAAAGGCACACTTCACCAAGAAGAAATAACACTTGTAAATATCTATGCACCCAATACAGGAGCACCAAAGTACATAAAACAACTATTAACAACCTAAAAGGAGATATTAACAATAACACAATAATAGTAGGAGACCTCAGCACTCCACTCATATCAATGGATAGATCATCCAGACAGAAAGTCAACAAGGAAACAGTGGAATTAAATGAAAACCTAGACCAGTTGGACTTAATAGACATATATAGAACATTCCATCCAAAAACAGCAGAATACACATTCTTCTCAAGTGTGCATGGAACAGTATCAAGGGTAGACCATATGTTGGGAAACAAGGCAAGCCTCAATAAATTTAAGAAGATTGAAATAATAACAAGCATCTTGTCCAACTACAAGGCTATAAAGCTAGAAATTAATTACAAGAAAAAAGCTGAGAAAGGGACAGAGATGTGGAGACTAAACAACATGCTGTTGAACAACCAATGGATCATTGAAGAAATTAAAGGATAAGTCAAAAAATATCTGGAAACAAATGAAAATGTAAACATATCATACCAACTCATATGGGATGCAGCAAAAGCGGTACTAAGAGGGAAATTCATCACAATACAGGCTCCCTGTAACAAACAAGAAAAATCCCAAATAAAGAATCTCTAACTACACCTAACTGAATTAGAAAAAGAAAGACAAACAAAGCCCAAAGTCAGCAGAAGGAGAGAAATAAAAATCAGAGCAGAAATAAATGCAATTGAAACAAAAAAGGCAGTAGAAAGGATCAATGCAACAAAGAGCTGGTTCATTGAAAAGATACACAAAAGTGACAAACCCCCAGCCAGACTTACAAAGAAAAAAAGAGAGAAAGCTCAGATAAATAAAATTAGAAGTGAAAGAGGAGAGATTACAATGGATACCACAGAAATACAAAAGATTATAAGAGAATACTACAGAAAGCTATATGCCAACAAAATGGACAATCTCTAAGAAATGGATAAATTGTTAGACTCTTAGAACCTCCCAAAGCTGAATCAAGAAGAAGTAGATAATCTGAATAGGCCAATCACAAGTAAAGAGATTGAAACAATCATCAAAAAATCCCTAAAAATAAAAGTCCAGGACCAGATGGCTACCCTGGAGAATTCTACCAAACTTTCAAAGAGCATTTAATACTTATCCTTCTTAAGCTATTCCAAAAAGTTAGGGAAGATGGAATGCTTCCTAAGACATTGTATGAGGGCAACATCACTCTGATACCAAAGCCTGACAATGACAACACAAAAAAGGAAAACTACAGGCCAATATTGCTGGTGAACATAGATGCAGAAGTCCTCAACAAAATATTGGCAACCTGAATACAGCAATACATTAAAAAGATCATACATCATGATTAAGTGGGATTTATACCAGGGACACAGGGATGGTTCAACATTTGCAAATCAATCAGTGTGATACACGACATTAACAAAATGAGGAATAAAAACCACATGATCATCTCAGTAGATACAGAGCAAGGATTTGACAAGAGCCAACATCCATTTATGATAAAAACTCTTTAACAAAATGGGACTAGAAGGAAATTACCTCAACATAATAAAGGGCAAATGTGACAAACCCACAGCCAACATCATACTCAACGGGGAAAAACTAAATCCATCCCTCATAACAGGAACAACACAAGTGTGCTCACTGTCACCACTCTTATGCAACAGAGTACTGGAGGTTTGGGCCAGAGCAGAACTTACAGAAAGAGAACTCAAGAATACAATCCCATTTACAGTTGCAACAAAAAGAGTAAAATATTTAGGAATAAATTTAACCAAGGATGTAAAGGACTTATACAATGAAAACTATAAGACATTATTGAAGAAAATAGATGACGACATAAAGAAATGGAAAGATATTCCATGCACATGGATTGGAAGAATAAACATGTTGAAAAGTCCATACTACCTAAAGCAATCTACAGATTCAATGCAATCCCAATCAGAATTCCAATAACATTCTTCACGGAAATAGAACAGAGAATCCTAAAATTCGTAAGGGGCAACAAAAGACCCCAAATAGCTAAAGCAATCCTGAGAAAAAAGAACAAAACTGGAGGCATCACAATCCCTGACTTCAAAATGTCCTACAAAGCCATAGCAGTCAAAACAGCATGGTACTGGCACAAAAACAGACACACAGATCAATGGAGCAGAACGTGAAAGCCCAGAAATAAAACCACATATCTACAGACACCTAATCTTTGACAAAGCTGCCAAGAACGTACAATGAGGAAAAGATAGTCTCTTCAATAAATGGTGTTGGGAAATCTGGACAACCACTTGCAAAAGATTGAAAGTAGACCATTATCTCACGCCATACACAAAAGTAAACTCAAAATGGATCAAAGGCTTGAAGATAAGACCTGAAACCATAAAATTCCTGGAGGATAATCGAGGTCGTATGCTCTTTGACATCGAACGTAAAAGGATCTTTTGGAATACCATGTCTTCTCAGGCAAGGGAAACAAAAGAAAAACAAGTGGGACTTCATCAGACTAAAGAGCTTCTGCAAAGCAAAGGAAACCAGGAACAAAACAAAAAGAACCCACCAACTGGGAGAAAATATTTGCAAACCATATATCTGATAAGGGGTTAACCTCCAAAATACATAAAGAACTCACACAACTCAACAACAAAAAAAACAAACAACCCGATCAAAAAATGGGCAGAGGATATGAACAGACATTTTTCCAAAGAAGATATATAGATGGCCAATAAGCATATGAAAAGATGTTCAACATCACTAATCATCAGGGAAATGCAACTCAAAGCTACACTAAGATATCACCTTACACCTGTTAAAATGGCGATAATCACCAAGACTAAAAGTAACAAATGTTGGAGAGGGTGTGGAGAAAAGGGAGCCCTCATACTCTGCTGGTGGGAATGCAAACTGGTACAGACACCATGGAAAACAGTATGGAGATTCCTCAAAAAAGTGAAAATAGAACTACCATATGACCTATCCCACTACTGGGTATTTATCCAAACAACTTGAAATCAACAACCCAAAGTGACCTTTGTGCCCCTATGTTTGTTGCAGCACTATTCACAATAGCCAAGACATGGAAGCAATCCAAGTGCCCATCAACTGATGATTGGATAACAAAGATGTGGTATATATGAATACTACTCAGCCATAAAAAAAGACAAAATCGTCCCATTTGCAGCAACATGGGTGGACCTGGAGAGTATTATGTTAAGCGAAATAAACCAGACTGAGAAAGACAAATGTATGACTCCACTCATATGTGGAAGAGAAACAAACACATGGACAAAGAGAACAGTTCAATGGTTACCAGGGGAAGGGGACTGGGGGGTGGGTTCAGTGGGTGAAGGGGAGCACTGATAATAGTGCTGGATAAGAAATAGTGTACAACTGAAATTTCACAGTGATGTAAACTATTATGAACTCAATAAGGAAAAAAAGACAAAGGCATGAAGGAGTTGAGATACTAAATTTGTAATATTTTATCACACTTAGTGTAATCTCATGTATGATATGATCTGGTTATTGTCAACTTCAGAAGCCAGAGTTGTACGTTTTGAAAAGTAGTAATCAGTATCTTCCTGTGACTCAGGTAAAACATAGAGAAATAAGTAAGATTGAAAACCCTGGAAGTACAAAAACTATGTTTCCATTCCTGTATGCATTCATTCATTCATTCATAATTGCTTAGTCTCTTAAAGGTTATATTTTGTACTTGTCTGAGAACAGTTTCAGTTGAAAATACGAGTAACAATATCATGGTTGGTTATCATTCAGACTTTTGTAACATTCTGAAGATGTGCACAAAGAGGACATTCTAGGGATGACAGAATTTGATATGAACAATTCTAGGTGCAGGCTACTTTTTCATTTGTCAAAGGGTAGAAATGAAGTTAAGTAACTTGTTGTAGCAAGTGGTAGAGCCACAACATGAGCTCAGGTCTTCTAATGCCAGTGTGTACTTGTAATTAGTCAAGATCCAGTCAGAAGCCATACTAGAAATTTGAAGAGGGATAGTATAAAAAGTTATTAACTGATAACAGGGATTAACTACTAAAAGTAGTTAAGAGAATTCTAACGAATACAGGGATAACAGATTTAGAGAGCAGCCAATAACCGTAAGTGACAGGAAGAAGACCCAAGGAAGGAACAACTTGGAAGACCCCCTGACCCTCCTAAATGCCTCCTCCTCCAGGCCAGGCTGAAATTCAAGTGGTAAGTGTGGCTGTAGCCACAGGATGGTAGAGAAGTTCATTGAGGTGCCACAGACTAAGGCTGGAGAGCAGGAAGCCACCTGTTGAGGTACCAGTGAAATTTGCTGGAGAGCTGCCCACTACCATGCCAGTGAGACTTGCTGCAAAGCCACCTGCTGGGGTGCTGAGGTGACTCACTAGGAAGCTATCCACTGACCTAAGAGAAACAAGGAAAAGAACCAGAACCAGAAAGATAAGCACCTCCCTTTGCAGTATCCCTCCAGCGTCATCTACAGACGTGACTGAGTTTGTGACTGCTGACAAAGGAGAAATATTTATAGGGTCCAGCTCCAGTATCACAAAGCTGAGCAGAGATGGGTGAATTAGGAGCTGAGAGGTAATACACTAACTGACATAAAATTCTTAGCTCATGATATACTATATATCTGCTTACTTTTCACATTATACAGTTATGAAGAATAAGTGATTGTAAAATATGTTACGCTGGGTCCAGCCCAGTGGTGTATTGGTTAAGTTTGCACACTGCTTCAGTGGTCCAGAGTTCACAATTTGGATCTGAGGCGCAGACCTAGCACCACTCGTCAAGGCATGCTGAGGTGGCGTCCAACATACACAATAGAGGAAGATTGGTACTGATGTTAGTTCACTGACAATCTTCCTCACAAATAGATAAATAAATAACTGTGTTACACTTTTTCTACACATGGTACTTCAGTTTCAGTTTTCAGCTCAATTGGGAGCCATGCAGCATCTGAAAGACCAACTGGAGCAACGGACACGGATGATAGAGGCAAATATTCATCGGCAACAAGAAGAACTAAGAAAAATTCAAGAACAACTTCAAATGGTCCATGGTCAAGGTCTGCAGGTAAGTTATTATCATATTTGAACACAAACAAACCATACTATTCACATTTTGGTTTCTTAGGACGATTGACTTTTCTTAAAAGTGAGATGCAGGAGAGATGTTTCATCAGTTTAGTTCAATAAATACTCATTGGTTACCTACTCAATATGGTTGCATTTACAGTCTCTAAAGATAATTCATTCCTGAGAGCATTTTCATCAACAGCTTGTTTCTCCAGATTAGAGTCATCATTTAGTAGTCCAGTTTTTAGTGAGCTTAAATTCATAATCTAAAAATGATATTTTACAAAGACTTTTAGGTACATGTAGGTACAGAATTTATAAATCAATCATCAGTCATTATTTTAATAAAATACCAGTAGGTGTGATTCATATTAGTCTTATTTGGTCAACCAACAGGCCACTCTAAAGTTATGTCTGTCAGAGGAGATTAAGACTTTGGTAAAGGGAAACTTTAAGTGAAAACTACTATCTAATGCCGCAAATTATAAATGATAAGTGGTGCAGAGCTGCCAGTTCACAGACCTGTGAGTAGCACTGACTTAGGGTAATGCTAGCTGATGTAACAAATAATCCTCCACACATAAAATGTTCAAACAAGCAGAGGTTTTAAAATTTATAACACTTTTTCTGACATGGAAACGTTATAGGGTTAGGATGACTGAAAGAAGAAATGTGAAGTATCATGTTTTATCCAGTAATTATTGCTCATTGTTCATTCAAAGTGATGTCGTCTTCTTGTTACTTGCTTTTTTTTCTTTTTATTTTATTGAGGTCATAATAGTTTATAACATTGTGAAATTTTAGTTGTACATTATTGTCAGTCAACATATAAGTGTGCCCCTTCACCCCTTATGCTGGGTGACCCCCTTCCCCCCTTCCCCTCTGGTAACCACTGAACTATTCTCTTTGTGTGTTAGTTTATCTTCCACATATGAGTAAAATCGTATGGTGTTTGTCTTTCTCTGTCTGTCTTTTTTGCTTAACATAATACCCTCAAGGTCCATCCATGTTGTTGCAAATGGGACAGTTTTGTCTTTTTTATGGCTGAATAGTATTCCATTGTGTATATATACACACACACCACATCTTTATCCAGTCATCGGTCAGTGGGCACTTAGGTTGCTTCCACTTCTTGACTATTGTGAATAATGCTGCAAAGAACATAGGGGTGCATAAGTCTCTTTGAATTGTTGATTTCATGTTCTTTGCATAAATACCCAGTAGTGGGATAGCTGGGTCGTATAGTATTTCTATTTTTAATTTTTTGAGAAATCTCCATATTGTTTTCCATAGTGTCTACACGAGTTTGCATTCCCACCAGCAGTATATGAGGGTTCCCTTTTCTCCATATCATCTCCAACATTTTTTATTTTTTGTGTTGGTGATTATAGCCATTCTAACAGGCATAAGGTGATATCTTAGTGTAGTTTTGATTTGTATTTCCCTGATGATTAGTGATGCTGAATATCTTTTCATGTGTCTCTTGGCCATCTGCATATCTTTGGAAAAATGTCTGTTCATGTCCTCTGCCCATTTTTTGATCAGGTTGTTTGTGGGGTTTTTTGGTGAGTTGTGTGAGTTCTTTCTTTATTTTGGAGATTAACCCCTTATCAGATATATGATTTGCAAATATTTTCTCCCAGTTGGTGGGTTGTCTTTTTGTTTTGTTCCTGGTTTCCTTTGCCTTGCAGAAGCTCTTTAGTCTGATGAAGTCCCACTTGTTTGTTTTTTCTTTTGTTTCCCTTGTCTGAGAAGACATGTAGTCAAAAAGATCCTTCTAAGACTGGTGTCAGAGAGTATACTCTCTTTACTCTATACTCTATACTCTATATTTTCTTATAGGAGTTTTATGGTTTCAGATCTTACTTTGAAGTCTTTGATCCACTTTGCATTAATTTTTGTGTATAGTGAAAGATAAATGGTCTACTTTCATACTTTTGCATGTGGCTGTCCAGTTTCCCCAACACCATTTATTGAAGAGACTTTCCTTTCTCCATTGTATGTTCTTACCACCTTTGTCAAAGATTAGCTGTCCATAGATGTGTGTGTTTATTTCTGGGCTTTCAGTTCTGTTCCATTGATCTGTGTGCCTATGTTTGTACCAGTACCATGCTGATTTTATGACTATAGCTTTGTAGTACATTTTGAAGTCAGAGATTGTGATCCCTCCAGCTTTGTTCTCTTTTCTCAGGATTGCTTTAGCTATCTGGGGTCTTTTGTTGTCCCAACTGAATTTTAGGATTCCTATTCTATTTCCGTGAAGAATGTCATTGGGATTCTGATTGGGATTGCATTAAATCTGTAGATTGCTTTAGGTAGTATGGACATTTTAACTGTATTTATTCTTCCAATCCATGTGCATGGAATATCTTTCTTTATGTCCTCATCAATTTCTTTCAATAATGTCTTATAGTTTTCATTGTATAGGTCTTTCACCTCCTTAGTTAAATTTATTCCTAGATATTTTATTCTTTTTGTTCTGATTGTAAATGGAATTGTATTTTTGAGTTCTCTTTCTTTAGTTTGTTATTAGAGTATAGAAATTTGTTACTTGCTTTTTAAGCTTAATTCGTTGCTTGTTTTTGCTTTCTTTTTTTCTTTTTTGATGCACTTATTCCTCTTTGTTTTTTATCTGCAAAGCTCATTTTAATGTAATCTTTATTTTTAAAGATGTTTTTACAACAGTCAACCCCTGGATTGAATTTTGGTTCTGTTCAACTTTCTTCTGGAAATTCATCTAACATCCAGCAACTCGCGCCTATAAGTATGCAAGGCCAGGTTGTTCAAACTAACCAAATTCAAAGTGGAATGAATACTGGACACATTGGCACAACTCAGCATGTGATACAACAGCAGACTTTACAAAGTACATCAAGTCAGGTAATGTTATCGAACAAAATGGGCTATAGAGTGTTCTGTGATTGAAATAGATGCTATTGCTGAAACAAAGCTCTATCTTGAGCAATGCCATATTTAAAACTTTAATAGTAATAATTAGTGTAATATTGAGAGTGATCATTAAACTATTTTATGCAAAATTGTTAAATTATTGAATGTTATATGCTTTCAATATTTTGACATTTAAAAAATTTTGAAATTTGTTTAAAAGGAACTTATAGACTTCTTCTGTATGAGGCTTGACTTGCAAAAGAGGCTGACCAGGAAACATGTTACTACTATACATGAAGAATATATTGTTAGGGCAGTGATGAAGCAATATTCCAGGAAGTCTTGGTAATTGGTGTACATCTGTGACTGTAAATCCCAAGGCTTCAAATGAAATATATAAAAATGTCTAATGTCAGTCACTCACCATGGGCATTTAACAGAAATTCTGTTTGTTTTATATCACCCCTGTTAAGATCATGCTCCTTTTTAAAGTCATAGCTTACCTTCCAGAAAGATATTGAAGACTACTTCATTCGTAGTTACTGTAAGTCATTCCTTTATGGCTCGATTCCTCCCAGAGTAATATGTCCTGCCACTTACTTTTCTGTCATGTCAACTATTGTTAGAATGATGACTAGTAGAAGCATACTTCCAAAAGAAATTTTTTCAGTTAATCTGTCTGTAAAATCTTCTCTTTTCTAGCAGAGTCAACAGAATGTACTGAGTGGGCACAATCAACAAACATCTCTTCCCAGTCAGACACAGAGCACTCTTACAGCCCCACTGTATAACACTATGGTGATTTCTCAGCCGGCAGCTGGAAGCATGGTCCAGATTCCATCTAGTGTGCCACCAAACAGTACCCAGAGTGCAGCAGTAACTACATTCACTCAGGACAGACAGATAAGGTAGGTGTCATATTTCATTAGTCATTCCAAAATTTTAAAGTGATTGATTAAAAAACAATAATTTGACTTTTAAAAACATGATTTTAGTTGGTTGCTCACTCCAGCAAGCATTCTTGAATTTGAAGTAAAACACAGGATGTATCCATTGTTTAAGGACTTTATAATAAAAGAATGACAGCAAATTTTGTTTCCTGTCCAAAAATGTGCTACCAAATATTGTTGAATCCAAATTCTATAACATGCTGTTATACGAGTTTCATGACAGGCTTTGTAAGACTGTGAAACTTTCATTGTTTCAGTACAGATGCTGGTGAGTTTTCATCTAGTAATGATGGTTAGGGTGTGTACTACCATAGTTTGTATATGTTGTGGAATAGAAGTAGCTTACCTTTCTGGAGCTTAAGTATTTACTAAGTGCTCAAAATGTATTATCTCATTTAATTCTTATTTTTTAAAAAATGAGCATTAGGGTCTTTTATTTCCCAGGTAAAAGTGAGTTTTTAGTAGTTTGGTCAAGGGCCTATAGCTAGTTAAGGGAGTGAAGGGCTTCTGAATTCAAGCCTAGGTGTCTGATTTCAAAGCTCAAGTGCTTAAACATAACTACACTGAACTTTATGGGCCATTCTAGAAAAAATACCCTTCTGCGACTTATTTTAGTGGGAAGTCCAAATAGCTGACTTAGAAGCAAATTTTTTGAAGAAATGCCGTTTTCATATATAGGATCTCCAAAGTCTTAAAACTTGTATCTTAAATCCATTTTATTTTTTACTTATTTTACTGCACTACAAGTAGGCTGCTGCTTTTATAATACAATTTTGCTGTTGAATTAGAGTGTGTAATAGATTTTATTAAAATCCTGTTAATAATTTCCAGAGAGTAAAGAAGCTGCAGGATCATAGAGGCAATGAGAGCAGGGAGAACTCATTGCTTCTCTTTGGAACTCAGTTCCTTCAAGGTAAAAAGTCCAACCTTTAGCTCTAGCATTCTGAAAGGAAGTATTATGAATGTGCTCTGTAGAAATGTAGAGGACTAGTTTCAAAGCCTGAGGAAAAATCTAGTAATCTGGAATGCTGACGTGCATTTTGGGAGACTGTTTGTAGTCCCCCAAACTGTTTGTAGACATCTATTTATATCAGCAAGCATTTGAGTGCATATTTAGATGAGTATGGCACATTCCTTGTCTCAAAGGAAAGATCAGACTAGTAAAAGCCATAGAAAGGTAAACAAACCAGTATTATGTGGTGTGATAAATACTTAGGTCTTTAGAAAGGAGGAAGTGAGCAGTTTATGAGTTGAGGCAAGCAGGTAAAGAGAGGAATGTGGTCAGAGAAAGCTTCACAGAGGATACTTGCCCTGAGTCTTAAAGGACTTGGCTTTGGGTGTGCCTGTGGTAGGGAGTCTATGGAGAAATTCTAGGCATAGGGAGCGGTATAGGCAAATCCACAAAAATGGGAATTAAGCAAAAGTAGACTGAAGAATGTCTTTTGGTGCCAGAGACAGATGAAGTATTCACATCACATTTTATCAGTAAGCCGTTGGACAATTCAGATACTAATTAAGATTACAGAGAAGTTAGCACTTAGCACTTCTGTGACTAAGCCACTTTGTAAATGTTACTTGCTGCTTTGAGCTTTCTTTATATGTTGATTTTTTTATTCTTTTATATATGTTTTTCATATTAAATAATGCATTTGGTCCTAAAGTAGATAAAATACAGCATTTTATTTTCAAGATTTGGCATGGATTTAAAATAGATTTATTTTGCCTCGTGGAACATAAATGATAAAGTGTGTGTCTGTACTAAGTTTAATGCTGTTGTGCACTCTGAACAGTTTGTAGTTGCAGTTATGTCATGCTGCATCTGCAGTAGGTCCTCTCTCAATTTCCTCGCTGCACTAGCCAGTGTTAGAAACTAACTTCATCTCACAGAAAAGGCAAATAGAAATAATATTGTTCCCTGATGAGGCATCATTTTTTGTTGTTGTTCTTTTATTACAGGAAATAGAAGAAGGAAGGTGAGGAGGGAGGGAATATTAGTGAATCCTAAACACAGTGGGTACTATGCTGCATTAATGACTTTATAAATTGAGGGTACCTTTATTCATTGTTAGAATTCAGTTAGTTTTGAATTATGTTTATAAGATACAATTTGCAGTATAAATATCTCATTTAAACCTAGAGAGTTTTAGATTCCCATAGGATAGCTTTAACTTTGGTGATGATTAGCAAAATGAACCATGTGCCACATATATCTGACTCCCAAGAACCTAGTAATTTTATAAAAAGAAAAAGGTTGATATTTTTTAACAGGTTTAAAATTTTTTATATTGTGGAAATATACACATAACATAAAATTTACCATGTTAACCATTTTTACATGTATAGTTCATTGGCATTGAGTACATTCACAACGTTGTGACCATCACTACCATCAGTCTGCAGAACTTTCTTCTCCTTCCCAAACTGAAACTCTGTGCCCATTGAACAGTAACTCCTCATTCCTCCTCCCCACTAGCTCCTGGAAACCACCATTCTACTTTCTAAGCACATAAGTCTGTGAGTTTGCTTACTCTAGGTACCTCATATACATGGAATCATACAATATGTTTTCTGTGTCTGGTTTATTTTCACTTGGCATAATGTCCTCAAGGTTCATCCACGTGGTAGCATGTGTCAGAATCTCATTCCTTTTTAAGGCTGAACAATCTTCCATTGTATGTATATGCCACATGTCGTTTATCCATTCATGTCAATGGACACTTGGGTTGCATCTGTCTTTTGGCTATTGTAAATAATGCTGCTATGAACATCAGGGTACAAATATCTGTTTGAGTCCTTGCTTTCAATTCTTTTGAGTATATACCCAGAAATGGAATTGCTGGATCATATAGTAATTCTCTATTTAACTTTTTGAGGAACAGTCATACTGTTTTCCATAGTAGCTGCACTATTTTACATTCCCACTAGCAGTGCACAAGGGTTCCAGTTTCTCCATATCCTCACCAACACTGGTTATTATCTGTTTTTTTGGTAATAGCCATCCTGTTAGTTGTGAAGTGGTATCTCGTGTTTTTGATTTGCATTTCCCTAATGATTAGTGATGTTGAGCATCTTTTCATGTGTTTATTGGCCATTTGTATATCATCTTTGGAGAAATGTCTATGCAAGACCCTTGCCCATCTTTTAATCAGATTGTTTATTGTTGAACTGTCGGATTGCCTTATATGTTCTAGTTATTAACCTCTTAGCAGATAGATGATTTGCAAATACTTTCTCCCGTTCTTTGGGTTGCCCTTCAACTGTGTTGATAGTGTCCTTTGATGCATAGAAGTTTTTAATTTTGATGTCCAGTTCATCTGTTTTCTCTTTTGTTGTCTGTGCTTTTAGTGTCATATCCAAAAAAATCATTGCCCAATCCAATGTCATGAAACTTTTCCCTATGTTTTTCTCTAAGAGGTTTATAGTTTTACCTCTTACATTTAGGTCTTTAATCCAATTTTAGTTAATTTTTCTATATGGTGTAAAGTAAGGGTCCAACTTCATTCTTTGCATCTGGATATCCAAAAAAAGTTTGTATTTTTGTTTGTGATCATTTCATTTTGCTATATACTTTTTTTTTTTTTTTTGAGGAAGATTAGCCCTGAGCTAACTACTGCCAGTTCTCCTCTTTTTGCTGAGGAAGCCTGGCCCTGAGCTAACATCGTGCCCATCTTCCTCTACTTTATATGTGGGACGCCTACCACAGCATGGCGTGCCAAGCGGTGCCATGTCCGCACCTAGGGTCCGAACCAGCGAACCCTGGGCTGCTGAGAAGTGGAACGTGCGAACTTAAACGCTGGGCCACCGGGCCGGCCCCTCATTTTGCTATATACATTTTTGTTTTACTGGTATCCCAAAGGGAATTTTTAGAAGTATAAAACAAAATTGGAACATACAGCTTTTTTTTTTAAGATTTTATTTTTTTCCTTTTTATCCCCAAAGCCCCCCGGTACATAGTTGTGTATTCTTCGCTGTGGGTTCTTCTAGTTGTGGCATGTGGGACGCCGCCTCAGCGTGGTCTGATGAGCAGTGCCATGTCCGCGCCCAGGATTCGAACTAACGAAACACTGGGCCGCCTGCAGCGGAGCGCGCAAACTTAACCACTCGGCCACGGGGCCAGCCCCAGAACATACAGCTTTTTAAAAACTAAATTGGCAGTATCATCAGATATTATCTTAGAGAGAAGTATTCAGCCCACTGCCTTTTATAACGTATACCTTGTACTTCTGACTCTCCTTCTTCTCTCTTTCTTCTTAACAGATTTTCTCAAGGTCAGCAACTTGTGACCAAATTAGTAACTGCTCCTGTGGCTTGTGGGGCAGTCATGGTACCTAGTGCTATGCTTATGGGTCAGGTGGTGACCGCCTACCCTACCTTTGCTACACAACAGCAGTCACAGACATTGTCAGTCACACAGCAGCAGCAGCAGCAGCAGAGTGGCCAGGAACAGCAGCTTGCTTCAGTTCAGCAACCGTCTCAGGCTCAGCTGACCCAACCACCACAGCAGTTTTTACAGGTAATTCTCCCATGGGGAAGCTGTCCCGAACCTATTTACTTTTATATAATGAAATTAGGCATTAAATGAACAGTCTTGTAAATGATCTAAAAAATCCATAAAAGCTTACTGTACAAGTTAAATTTCTGTGAAGACAGAAGGCTTGTCCTGGTTAGCTATTTTGTCTTCCCTTGTTCAGTCTTTGGAAGGCTTTTAGCCTTGCCCTGGACATATCCAGTTATCTGAACTGCTGGATAGAATAAGTGGCTACTTCCTGCCCACATCAAGGCACTTTGTGTAGAGCTCTCTCCAGCTAGAGTTTCTGAAATTCAAGCAAAGGCAACTTTCTTCTCTTCCTTTATCTAGTGGTCTTTCAAACTCCACTCTCTACTGGGAAGGATAGCAAAAGGGATTTTTTAAAAAATTATAGGCATTATCTGAAATTATTTTGTTGGGTTGAATTTTTAAATAATTTTTTGGTTATAAATTAATAGAGGAGAAATACTCTGGAGGCAGTATATGTCGTACTTAAGAACTTAAGTTCTAAAGTCAGGCAGCCCTGAGATTGAGTCTGCTGCACCACATACTGTGTGACCTTTGGCAGGTTACTTAACTTGCCAAAACTCAGTTTCCCCATCTATAATATGGAGGCTCTAATAGTTCATATCTCATGGGTAAAAGATGCATGTAAATTACTGAACATAGTATAAGGCACATAACTAACTGTCATTTATGACCACTGTCTTGCTAAGTGTAATAGACACTCGGATTAACCACAAAGCAGGCACAGATATCAGGTGAGTGAGTATATCAGACATGATCTGCTCATCTAAAGGATATAGAAGAAAGGCACATAGGTACAGGTCCTCAGCAGGACAAATTCCTGAATTTCAGTACCCTCACTCTGGGTGCAAAGTAGATTATGACATCTGGAAATCCAGCTTTTTTCCTTCTGGCCTAGGAGGAGCAATTTTGAGAGTAGGCTAGCCTAGATTTGTGCTGAAGACCATTCCATGTAGGCCACACACATATCATCAATTTTAGAGTTATACAACACATGGTATGACTAGAAGATTCAGTATTGTACTGCATACTCGGACATAAATACAGTGTTATCACCATTGGTGTTCTGGTGCAAATATAATTCTTAACTTGGTGTTGTGGAAAACTAGAACAGGTTAGTTGCCTAAATAACCTCTGAGAATCATACAGTCCCTTAGACCTTAAGCCTAACTGTAGCCATTAATGACTGGGTTAGCTATTGTTATAAATGAATTAGTAACAAGAATTTATATCAAGTTGTAAACTATTACCTGGGGGAAATATATTCAATGAGAAGTAAGCAAGAGCTTAAAAAAGGAAAGGACTTGCCTTAAGGTCTCAGTCTTCGAAGTCTCTCAGGGAATGTGAACCCTTAAAACAATGAACATTCTCTTCTCCCCTACTTCAAAAGAAGCTATTCCAAAGACATAAGACCCCTAAAGAATAAGATTGGAATACCCTTCAGAAATATACTCATATGTAGATAGTAAATACACAATTTGGCTTTTCTGATTATATGACACCTAGTTCCAAATGTACCTCTCTTGTAACCTGTAAGGCTCATAAATATCCTGAGTTCTTTATCTTACAAAAGCTCTTCCTAATAAAGAGAGAGAAAATTCTCCAGGTTCTGGGCAAAGCTTAATAGTCTTTCAAGTTCAAGGATCTGTCCTTTGTGTGCAGGTGTCCTTCATATACATTTGCAAAACTCACCCATTACAGTTCCGTTTTAAAATTAGGAACCCTGCATCAAGTTGTATAGTTAGTAGTAAGGAAGGACTTTCAGTTTAAAAATTCATTTCTTTTTGGCTAGTTTCCTTTGTGTCTCCAGAAGTAGAAATTAGGTGAAAGAAACTGAGGCTTGTAAGTGTTGAGACTTGCCCAAGTTCACACAGCTAATAATGGCAGAGCAAAACTCAAATCTAGGGCTTCTGACTTCAGATCCTGTGCTTATTTATTGTTTGAGTTTGTTTTTTTGTTATACCACACTGCTAAATACAGGACTTACATCTCTAACCTTGCCTTCATTTTCATGGTACTTTTAAATAATAACACTGTTAATACTTAATCTTCATAAAAACCCAATATGGGAGGCACTGTGATTGTCCTTATTTTATAAATGAAGACACTGAGGCCCACAGAGGTAAATAGCTTGACCAAGTCACATGTCTGGTAAACAGGGCAGCCAGAATTTGAACCCAGACAGTGTCACTTCAGGGCCCATGTTCTCGGCCACTAAACTGCTGCTCTAACCAACCAAACAAACCTCATAAGCATTTTCTAAAATACTATTTTTAAATGAGAAAGCAAGAATTACGTAGAAGGATTTTGTCCCAATGGACAGCGGAAAACTTGAGTAAATCTTAATGTAGACAGTGTGATAGGAGTAAAGCAATGTTGCATAATCCATTTGTTTTTTAGACTTCTAGGTTGCTCCATGGGAATCCTTCAACTCAGCTTATCCTCTCTGCTGCATTTCCACTACAACAGAGCACTTTCCCTCAATCACATCACCAGCAGCACCAGTCTCAGCAACAGCAGCAACTGAGTCGGCACAGGACTGACAGTCTGACTGATCCTTCCAAGGTTCAACCACAGTAGCACACATGCCTCCTCTCTGACCTCAAGGGAGGAAGGGTTGGCCCATAAAGAGTTGCTCAGATGATCTGAGGACAGGAGGAAAAGTTGCAGCAGTTCATGAGATGCAGTATTGAGTGTTCAAGTTCCTGGAATTAGTTAATGCTGCCTAGTGCTACAGATGTCCATTAAATACCAGCCAGCAGGAGATGATCATAGGGCCATAGCCAATTCTGACAGTGTTTTACTTGCCCAGAAATTTTTTGATGGAAAAAGAGTATATTGCCAAATGTTTAGAAGCTCAGCTATGAAACGTGACCTCCAGTGAATCAGAAAGGCACTAACAATGATGTTAGTAACTTTTAGTGGTTCTGTGCCTGTTTTCAAGTGTTACAGAGGACACACCACTGCCATGTCAGGGGTTTGCTTACAATGATGCCATGAAGACAGTCCAGTAGACTCAGTAGGCCCCCTTCCCCACCCCCTCTCCCTTTTCAGATGATGGAACAGTAATGAATTTCAGAATGTTATATGGGTTTTAATTCTCTATGTACAGATGCTGTAAAAATATTATGTATATGTCTGGATAAAAGGAGAGAAAGCAAAACATTTTGTATGCTGCATGAAAGCATTATCTACTCCTCATAGGTATGAGTACATTTCCTTAGATCTTGATGCCCTGTGCAAACTAATGCATCCTCCGTTTCCCCTTTTGTTTACAAATGATAGTGTTCACTTTTCCGGGGCACAAGTCTTTTTGTTCATACTTTGGCTGTGATGTCACAGTTGGTTCAGTGAGGTATGATGTGCTGCTGGGAATGGATTTTTTTTTTTTCAGGTTAAATTATTGAAACAACAGGATTTACTCAGAAATATATCCCTCATTTCATTATTTTTCAATTATGTTTGAAAATAGGATTTGCACTGCTTTATTTTAGATGGGTGGGAGTTTTGATCACATATTTTGATATAGTTTGTAGTTGGAAATAGTTGCGTAAATGGTTTTCAACAAGCCTGAAAGTAATTTCAAGAATGTTTCAGTTACAGGAGTAAAATTTGCACACAAAACATTTTAGGCACTTTTTAACATTCTCACTGGTGGGAATTTTAACTTTTAGGATTTGTTGGAATCTTTTTATTATCCTTCACAATTTCAATGCTTCTTTTAGTCAGAAATGATTCAGGGTTATTTGAGGGGAAAAAAAAACCCATAGTGCCTTGATTTTGATTCAGGTGATAACTCACCATCTTGAATTCATTTTCTGGTTTCAGTAGCAGTTTTGAAACCTTAGTACATTTTTAATTAGCATGTGGGTATCAGTGCCATTATTATTCTCCTAAGTTCCTATGAAGGCTGCTGTGAGTCTTTTGGACTGGAGGTACAAATAATTTAGAAACAAAAGGTGACATCCTAACACTATCAGAGTTACTAATGTGGTTACAAAATTGTTCTCCTAAATCAGCATCTTCCTTTAAAGCTAAGTAGTCATTTAAGAATTACCAGTTAATATTTGCTCAATATGATCTTGATATTCCTACAGAGAAAAAAGGAGGAGTAGGAATTGGCTTTACCTTCACTACAATGCTAGAATATTGTAACTCACATGCTTTTTAAACATGAACTAAGATTTCATTTGGCAATATCATTCTAAAGGTAATAAATTCCAACAGAAATTGCATACATAAAAAAAGCATTTTATAGATTTTTATGGTACTAATAATTAAATTTGAAACTATAGAGCAAAGGAAGATTAATGGAAAATATCTGATTAGAATATCAAAAATTATTACTGAGGAAAGGGAAGACAACAAGCTGTAATAAATCAGAATTGACCTTAAAAGAAAATGTGTAACAGAATTGAGGTTGTTAAACAGAAAAGGTTTTGAGCAGTGAAAATACCCTAATACAGAATTGCTAGATGAAGGAGTCAAAGAACTCTAAGTCAGTTCTTAAGACTTTTCTGTCCTCAGCTTTGCTATCATCGTTAAAGGATATCCTTTGTCTTTCTGTAGAAAACTACACCTGGCCACACTTAAATTAGAACATTAATGTTGAAAGAGAAAACAACCAAAGAAAGTTGGTACCTACCCTTCTACAAAAGAAGTGTCACTAGATACCAATCAATAATTAACATATCAAGGAGCTCCTCCTCTAGCTAAATGATCATCCAGAAGAGATTTCTGACTTTCTCATGAATGTCAAGATTAGTTGTCAGAATGTGTGTACTTGAGCATACATACACATACACAAAGATAAAATTGATGTAGAATATGGCAACAGTGTTAATTTTCTCCCCTTTCAAATTGCCTTTCTTAACCTTCCCATGCCATTCCATATATATCTGAGTTGTGCCTCATTTATGTGTTGGTGATATCTAGTGATGGGATTTAGCTAACAAACAATAGGAAGAACTGTTATATTAAGGTTTATCCTCTAAGTACCATACTTACAAATGGTGAACCCCGTGAGTACTGTGTACTTAAAGTGGTTAACAAAGGCAAAGCATAAGACAAGCCACAGGGCAAATCTGTACTCTTTGTTTATTCACATACTGCTCTACCAGTTTCTTCAAGTATTTTCCATCCTCACAAATATTTGGGAAAGAAAATTAGACAAAATTTTGCTTTATAACTCCTGTTGTCCCTCACAGCTCATTGTTTTTCCCGCTTAGAACTGACTGCGAAAATTTTAAAGGAGCAGCTGGCTGCTTTTCCTTTGCTATCAATATCAAGCATTGTGGCGGCAGAGCTCGTCAGCACCAACTGCCTCTTAGCTCCTTCTTTAACTTTGTTTTCCTCCTGCTTCCCTTGAACCAGGACTGCAAAGCTGTCCCTGCCCCTCCCCCATGAATGGGGACTTGGGCGTCTGGTGAAGATTCAGCAGGTGCCTGTTCTTCATTTCTGTAGCCAAAGCTGTTAATTAAAATCCCAAATCTAAGTCATGAAAAAATACCAAATAAGAACACCTTTCAGCTACTTAAAAATCATATCTTCCCTCTGCTTTATTCTCATAGATACTCAGTTTTTCTTAAAAACATTTATTCTGGGTGGCACTTCTTAGATAAGAAACTGTTGAAGATAAGGAAAAATGTTAGCAGTTAGTTATCTTGATTTGGACTGCTGTGGGACTGGGTGAGTCAGTGTTATTTTAACAACTACATGCGGACTACAAGGATTAATAAAGTTGCTGCTGGGAATAGTATTAAAGCAGAACCGAGACACTCTGTTTTTTGAGTGGAAAATATTAGTGGAAAAGCAAATATGGACGATGGGGGTAGCATGTAGGTAAATATTACACTTCAGTCTCCAAAGTCTGTCCTAAATTGAGGGGATAATTTGAGTCCTGTGCTCTGCTTTGTCACTTAAATCTGGTTTCAGAATGTACTAGTAATAAAAGGATGCCAATGACTTGTGCTAGTTTGCTGTGGAATCCGCAGTGCAGAGTAGTGACGATGTTGCTAGGGTTCTCCGTTAGGGCTGTGGTTGTGGGCCATTGCCTTAAAGAGGTCTGCCCGCGGTTGGTTAAGGGCAGCGCAGCAGCACAGCTCTGTAAAGGGCACTGCACGTGAGGGAAGATGAACCCTTGTTCAAGAAGCCTTAGAAAGGGGCCCCTTAAAATACTACTCTATTTGCCTGCAGTACACAGACAGGTAAAAATTATTTTAAACTGGATATTACTCAGCGTGTTTTAAAATGTTTCCACTACACTGAGGTAAACTTTTTTTAAGTGGAATGCAAATAGCATTTTATTCTAGTATTGCTCATTTCTACTTTTTTCTTTTTCTGTATTTCTTTAGTGATTGAAAGGTCATTGATGAACATTTGTGTAAAACTCATTCAAGTCTATAACCTTTCCAATATCTGTGACCCTGTTCTGAGTCCCTCAGGAGTCAGCGTTGGAAGGTATGAACACTGGATATTACTATTGCTGAGTGAGTCTAGCCAGGAGTAAACTGTTGGGAATTTTTCAATGGTGGAAAAGAAGGAGCACAAAGGCGCTTGCCATTTTAATAGTGACTGGAGAAAGAGAAGAGAAGATTTTTAAATTTGTTTGGGTTGGGTGAGCATTCTTCTAAAAGGAGCTTCTGAAGTAATTGCAAAGGAAAAGAGTCGACTATTTTTATAGCATATTTAATATATTTGTATATAACTATGAATATATAGTAGGAACCCTCCACATGCCTCCCACTTTTCTAATTTACTCCCCTTTTGCCATACATAGCACTAGTATAGCCTCATCCGCATGGGTAACGTGCCTATTGTCAGCCTACCAAAAGATAGTGCTGCTGCTTCCTGAGACAGGTGAGAAGACCCGACTCTCATGCCTGGGGATCCTTTACGTAGGAATAGCACACACTTTTACAACATACCACAGTCTAAAAGCATCATTTTGAAATGTAACAAGCACTTTATTGCAATTATTCATTTTGATAAAGTTTATTATCTTAGGCATTACCATTTCTAAAGGATCCCCAAATCATCACTTAGGTGAAATTTAAAATGACACATTTCTGAGAAATGTTTAGATCCAGTGAACCGTAGTAGGTTTATGGGAGTGATTTCAAGGTAGCCAAATGAACTTTGACTTTTGTTTTGAATGTGGTGGAGTCAAGAGATTGTAGATGCCTAGTTCCATTTAGACACTATTGTAAACCTATCTTGCCTATTGTATGAACACCAAAAGAGACCAATGAGCCTGTTTATTTTCAGAGGTCTAGGAAAACTGCATCAGTGTGAATAGATGTATAGAACTAACCTAAAAGTGATTGGTAATAATATTTTAGTATACAATAATTTCAACAATTATTCTGGGTGTTTTAAATGTGCTCTGAAATGTTGGCATGTCATTTCAGCGTTTCCGTTTGAACTGCTCTTGTAATATTTTTGCACAAAAAGGACTGAGAAAAAGACTACTTTGGTTGAAGAAAAAATATATATAATTTGGTCTTATTTTAATGTCTCGTGGAAACACTGGGGATGAATTTTGTTGGTATAGTCATTAATTCAGGATATTTAAAACAGTATTGAACAGCTCACAAGAAATTAAGCAAACGTGGATATTTAAAAATTAAAACTTTCTTTCCATGTGACTGTTTTGCATATTTTTCCCCATGTCATAATTTAACACTACATTCCTTGTTTTTCTTAAATAAAATAATACTTTGCAGGTTCTGTTTTTGAGTATTTAACAATATTTTGTAAGCTGCCTGAGTTTTCCTAGGGAAAAGTTCTTTAGTGAAATAGGACCTCGTTTATGAAGAGACTGAGTGAAATTCCATCACCACCACCAGCAAACACTGAGGTGCTGCATTAAGTGACAATCAAAATAGTGAGTATTTATGGAAGAATTTAGACTGTGGTTTTAAAGAAGCAATTGCTTTGAAAGCAGTTCTCTGGGTTTCTTGAATAAAAATAGCTAAATGTATTTATTTATATTTTTAAATATCTTTGTGTTCTGTTTTCTCATCAAAGTGACTTCACAGTGTCGTGTATTTAATTTGTGGTTTGTTTTGTTTTGCCTCGTAATCTTCTTAGAGAACTGTAAGTATCTGGGTGCAGTCTCCGGCCCTCACGACAACTTTTCATGGGCAATCCAAATCTGGTTTACTTCAGGACAGCAGTGGAGGGCCCAAATCCAGATGCCCCTGCCTTTCCTTCCTATTCTCAACTCATTTAAGAAAAAATAAAGGTAACTCCGTTCACATCTGTTTCCTGTAGCTCCAACCTTTTTCTAGTTTCACTTGCTGCCTTTTCTATTTTATGGGCACTTTTTATATGATTACTTCCCCAACACAGCCAAAGGCCAGTATGACAGAACCAGTGGCACACATTGCCTCTGTTTTGCCCATTTGGGTGAATGCTAGTAAAAATGATTTGCAACTTCTGATGGCTGTCACTATCATATCCATATTAAAATCCATTTAAAGTCCTTAAGCATAGGTGAAACAACATATACACACTGCAAACTCTTCTACAAAAATGTTTGCTGTCTTTATATTGTGCAATGTCGCTTGATCCTTTAAAAACAAAACCAAACCTCCATACACAGCACTGTCCAGTAAAGTAGTGTTTGAGTATCTGAAGCCTAGAAATTTGAGGACACGTTTTATTAGTATGCACTGGAACAGAATTCTCCACTTTAGGGCTCCCAGAGTTGCCCTTGAGTCCCACAGGCCAGGTACAGGGCACGCTGTCTAGCTTTTGGGATACTTTAGAGAATGGTAATGAAAGCACGTCAACCACAAGTTGGATTTAATGATATAAGAAATGTTTAACTCGGAGGTTTAAATTGAAGATGTGATGTTTTCAAATGTATACTTTTAAATTTCTGAGGAAGCAAACTGTGACATCGCTTTAAAAATGACATTGAAATGTTTTATAATGTGTGTTTTTGAGTTGGCCTGTACTGGTGCGGATTCACTGCTGGCACTGATTGTGCCAGTACTAGAGTTTAAATGTAGGAAAAGCTCTGTTACCTTCACATTGATGTACTATGTAACTAGACAATCATTATCAAGCAAAAAAGAAATCGCCAGGAAATGTCCTTTTTCTTTTTGGATATGTCAGCCAGAACAGCTGTAAGTCAGACCATTCTAGAATTATTTTGAAATCTATTTTACTATGATGTAAGATGGGGAAAGGCCTCAGGATGGCACTTGCACATTCACTCTGTGTAAAGATTGAAGCCCAAAGATGAGTTAAATTCAGTGCTGTATTGAAACCAGTTAGTGCAAAAAAAATGTTTTATCTTTGTAAATTTTTAATTGTTAACATCAATTAGTAGCTGTGAAAACATACACCAAATTCTTTCTAATGTTCTGTGTGGTTCTTAGTGTGCTACTTACTCTTGACATTGCTGTCCTTACTGCTTGGTTCTTGGTTTTAATTAAAAATTAGATGTAGCCCGATCATTCTTCCAAAAGGGTGGAGCTATAAATGGCTAACGGATCTTGTGATAAGAATACTTATTTTTCCTAAAGCAGACATTTAATTGTAATCTAAATTGATTTACAAAAATGAGACTGGCATTTCCTGGGTATTCTATTCGGCCTAAATCCTAAACTGCACAGAAGCACGAAGGAATAATGAGTGGTTTCATCGGTGCTATATTAGGTTCTCTGCTGAATTTCATGGCGCTGTGTTTGAAAATATAGTATAAAATGTGGATCATTTTGTTACCAATTTAATATTGCCATTTTAATTTGGTGTTACAATTGTTTCTCAGCTATGTTCTGAGAAGAGGTAAAATGTGTTATTAGCCTACCTCCACTCGGGCCTCTTGCTATATGATCATTTTCCAGGTTATGATGTGCATAGATTTTAAAACTACATGCTCTTTCCCATAGATAGACTCTTATATTCAGAACCTAAAATTATACCAAAAGAGCCAAGCAGTAGCATTGTTTTTTTTGTAAATGTAAAAATAGATCCAGACTTTGTTTCCTTATTCAATTTTAAAAATAAAAAATACCTCAGTGCTGTTTTTCAGTATCACCTGCATTTCTCAAAAAATAACACCTGCTTTATGTGGCACATAACTTGTAAGAATCACACTATTTTGGATTTTAAAGACAGACTATTAAATATTTTAAAATCACTACCAATGACATTTTCTTTTCTTTTATTCAGCAACTGCGTTAGTGATTTTTACCTTGTAGCTTAAGTCCAAGCTACCAAATTCTCTCAGAGTAGTTATGTCCTGTTACAAGATTGTGGTGCCTCAGAAAGCTATGCTGTTATTCACATATGAAGCTGGTAATGGGACTGGCTGCCTGCACTGGCAAGTCTGGGCTGTGATGGTACCAGCTATTTTCTAACGAGGAATTATCCTTTCTGTTCTTGGAAAAGAAAAACGTAATTCCTTGCTTGTTCTGTTTACAGTGATCTAAGGCAGTGTTAGGGGTATCTAACTGCAGAGAATGATAGTGTAATCTGGGGATTTAACCTGGAATTTCTATGGAGTGCTTTACCTTCATTCATGAACATTGTGTTTTTTCTACCCTGTAATATACACTTCTTATGGTAGTTAGAGAACTCCTTGAAAGTTTCCAAAAACAACTTTTCATCAGTATGTGCTACTGCTACTTTTAAACTGATAACCCCTTTTAGATCTCTTCACAATAGTGGTTAGCTGTCTTTCCAGCAGAGTTGCTACTGCAGAAGCATTCTGCTGCATTGACAGTGCTGGGTGATTAACTAGATTCTTTCATAATCTCTTCAAATTACAAATTACTGTACGTTGTGAACCTTTCTAGTAGCTCAGTAAACCTCACTTGCCGTGTGTCTCACAAGGAACATGGGAGTTTCTATAGAACTGTCCTTTGGGCTAAAGAGGCCACTAATGGCAGTGTTACTGCATGTGGTAAGAGAACACATCAGGCTGGGAGAAAGCAGTTATGCTGCTTGCATGGAATATAATTAGCAGTCAAGTTAGAATATACTTAAATAACAGTGATTACTGAAGGTGCTGTGATAAAACGAGGTAGCCTTGCCATAACCAATGATTACAGGCTCTAGAATTAAACTGTCTGGTTTGACTCCCTGCTCTCCCACATTACCTTGGACGAATTAACTTTTTTCTTTAAACCTTGTATTAGTATCTGCCACCTTATAGAACTGTGTGAGGGTTGAGTAAGAGAGTGTTTTAGAATAATGCTTGGCTCCTGTTTTTGCATCAGCTTTAGAAACTGCTCTGTAAGTATTTAATACTACCTTGATAAATGGGATAGCTGTGATCCTGTATAACACACAAGGGAAAACAAGCACTGGTCATACCACTTTTATTTATACTTTATCTGTTACATTGTTTATTCAATATAGAAAAAATATGAATACACTCACAGTATTCTCTTTTAATTTGGTAATTCCCCATTGTCAAATATTGACTGTTTTTATATTGGGTTTCCTACCCAATTAAAAAAAACCAGTAAGAATGGACCTGGCAAACAATTCTTGTCATGTTACCAATATAACAGTAATACATTTCTCTTGCTCTTTTTCTTTTTTTAAACAAAGAACCTAATTTTAAAAAAGACTTCTGATTAACCTACTACTTACTGGCTTAGGGAAACGTTTTAAAAGACAGAAATTATTTCATTCTTCTCCTAGGAAAAATTTTAAGGTAAACATCTTAAAATGTATCAGTGATCCAGGAGAAAATTTATATTCCTTATAAAGGGGTCAGTGCTGAAAGAAAATCAAGTGGTAGACCCCACTGCACAATGGTTCTGTATATACCCCCCTTAAAAAAGCCAAAAAACCCTCAAAAACAGAGACCATATTAACATAATTATGCTGAAGAAAAGAAAAATTCACACTTAGACATCAGGTTTCTTTTAAAAATCCATGTTGCAAATAGAATCAATGATTATTTCTTTTGGACATACTTTCCTTAAATGGGTCAAACTTGCAAATCAGTGCTACAAAATACAGTATTTTCCATCACTTTTAGTTATAATGTACACTATGTACATAAAGACAAGAGTTACCTATCTTAAATACAAATGAACAAACAGCTTGTTAAAAACCAGAATCGGGACTTATAAATAGTGCCGAAAATGCAAATGCCAAAAATACGACGCCTCCTATGATTGTCACTGTAAGAGAAGAGAAAAAGTTAAATAAGGCAAAATTCCTCTATGAGGGAGCCAAGACATTGCCCATTATTTTTCCAATCTAGTAAACTAACTAAAAAACAAATTAGAAACAGTCAAACCCCATTTCCACAGCAAAGAACACTTAACATGCCTGACTCTGAACAGGAAGGGTAAGTTTCTTCTCCAGAACGGTTTTGAAAAATAACAAAATTATATTGAGACAGTGCTGACAGGCAATAATAGAACTATAACTCATCTTAAAACTCAGTTATTAAAGAGAATGTTCAACAATTCCTGGCTATTTTTATTCCATTTTTAGGACCTACCAGCCACATAGGAAATTTCCAGGAGAATCAGTAAATAATATGGTCGCCACCTAAGATTCCCAATCTTGTAAGACATATTTTTAAGGCCAAAGCATTATCATCTTTCCACATGATGATGTTTATACTAAAATATGTTGACAAAAAGCTACTATAAATCCAGTAATACTTTTAGATGAATTTGTATTTTACTAACATCTACACATGTGAAAACAGCCTGTTTGCAATAGTAGGGGCAATACATTGAACCTGTCAGAGATTATCATTACAAAGACCAAGTCTTCAGAAGTAAAAACTTCATTAAAACAAACAGTATTTTCTTTGTACAGTCATGTGTGGCTTAACGATGGGGATATGTTCTGAGAAATGCATCATTCCGCAATTTCATCGCTGTGTGAACAGCACAGAGTGTACTTAGACGAACCTAGATGGCACACTCTACTACACACCTAGGCTGTATGGGACTAATCTTACGGGACCACTGTTATAAAAGCGGTCTGTCATTGATCAAAATGTCATTATGCAGTGCATAACTGAAAAGAATAAACAACTTACCAGTTCTGACAGAGATTTTTTGTGCTATCATTCTTCCTCCAATTACTGCCAAACCGGTGCATAAGCAGTGTCCCACTGTTCCACCCACTGCCACCCCATAGGGGTCCTGGAAACAAGTGTAACTAACATTAATTTAAAACCAAGGTTGAAACTGCTACCTGAGAAATAACTATTAAGTACTGAAAATGAAGGTCAACAACAACAAAAAAGCATAAAATAGTTCTAAAAATTCAGGTGTATAATTTATGAAAAGTGTAATAGCTGCTTGAAGGAATTTGTCCCAGTTATACCTAGGACTAGAGACAAAAGTAGGGAAAAAAAATGTGTAAGATCAAAATAACCCTAATTCAGCCTTTCAGCAGTTGTTAAACTTAATTCACAGGCAATATTTAGCTCTTAGGTGACAAGTGCTAAGGAGACTTACCCTAGACATCTTTCCCTCAGGCAGTATTTGATGCTGTGAGGAAACTTAAGAAAGCCTTTAGCGTATAGTCTGACTGTAACTTCCCCCAAACAGAGACCTGGCCTTCTTTATTCTCCACGGTGTCCTCAGTGCTTTAGCTCTGCGCCAGGAACATAGTATTCATTCAGTAAACACTTATTACCCAGAGCAAACTGGAAGCACTCAGATTGGGAAAACAGTGAAAGTTTGCGAGATAGCCCTGAAGAACGAGCGGGAGGATTTGACTTTGTTTTGTGGAGGAGAGAATACACTAGTAGATGACAACAGGCCAGCAGTAAGAGAAAACTGCAGAGTACTTTAGCAATTCTAGAGAGAAGTCCATCAGAGTAGGAGGGGGCCGGGTCATAAAGGACCCTGTAAGCTTAATGGAGAGTTTATAGACTTTTAGGCACTGGTTGGTTTTTAGCTGGGGAGTGACAGAACAGATTTATACCTTAAAAGTCTAGCATAGAGAATGAACTGGAGGAGAGGAAACAAGACTGAAGGCAAGGTGACCAATCAGGAGGCTACTGCAGTAGCCCTGGTAAGCAACAATGTTGGCCTGGATTGGCGAGGGAGACTGTGGACAGAGAAAAGCGGATGCATTTGAGAGAATCTGAGGCATAACTGATATACCATAGTGATAAGTGAATGATAGGTGTTAGGAAAGAGAAAAGTCAGGCATGACACCAAGTTTCTCACCCATAATTCTCTGGATGCATTATGATAATACCAGTGTGATTACAAAGGTAGAGGAAGCACTGGAGAAAGAGTTCATGGATGCCAACAGGAGTTAAAAGTGGAGAAGTTCAAGAGTCAGTTGAGTTCAATGGTGAATCAGCTATAGGACTGAATACAATAACCCTGGGAGAGAAGGCAGGAGGATGCTGACAACACAATCTCAAGGAAAGCAACACTGAAGGAATGACAGAGAAAGCAGAGCCCAAAGGAGACTGGAAAGGTGGCCAGGCAATTAGCTTCCCAAGATGACCTCAGCAGGACCTGTCAGGGGCTGCAGTGAACTCAAAGTACCTCAGCAACATCACCAGTGAGGTCAGAAACTAGAGTTCAATGGGTCTAGTCAGCAAGGAAATAGGGCCAACTCCTGTTCCCATCACAGCCAAGCCCTCTGAGACTGGGGAAAGGGAAGGGAGAGGGCTGTATTTGGAAGAAAGCTAGAACTGAGGAAGGGGTAAAACATTTTTAGATGAGAAAAACTTGTGCATGCTAAAATACTCACAAAATTGGGCTGGCAGAAAGACAAAGATTTACCCTACCAGTGGGGGCCTTGGGAGCTGGAATCCAGAATACAGGAGGGAAAGGACTGCCACCGTGATGGGTGGGAATGAAGAAAAGATGACTTCTGCTTCTCTCTGTGAAGTAGGAGGTGAGGCTGTTTGCTGTAGAGTGGGCAGTGTATGTGTATGGGGACAGTCTGAAACATCTACTGTGAAGAACAGAAGAGTGGGACTACATTTCCCAAATTCCGTTTGTGTATTGTAACGTCTAAAACTGGTATCCAGAAGATGGTTTCATTCTATTTGAAAGTGATACTTGAAAAATCACTGGATTAAATAGTTCCTTTCATGCAGGATTCCTCAGAGTCTTTGTTATTTTGTATACTCAATCTACAAAACAAACCAGGATATATTATTTGACCCTGGAACCTTTCCCCCCAACTTTTTTTTTTTTTGCTTAGTACCCATGAACATCTCAAGGGACACTAGGATTCTGTGAAATCCAATGTGGGAACAATCAGTTATGCTGGAAACAGAAATGAAGTTCAGACTAAAATGGACTGAACTAGACTTACTGCATGGTTTATACAAAAAAATTACCAAAATAAAATTAGGAATGTTAAGGGAACAGAGACAGATAACCACATTTCTGCCCTTGAGCACCTCATTACACATCCCCAAGGTGCTGGTAGTGTGGAAGGTGGCTGACACTGAGGGCTCACTGGTCAGGGACCTACAGGCATCATCTTGTTTTATCCATAGAACCACCCACGAAACGAAGCAGGTCGCAGGGAGGTGCTGCAGTAATGTGGCCACGCAGAAAGAGACTCCGACCCAGGCAGCAGGTGCCATGCTGCTGGAATGCAGGGGACCCAGCTAGTGCACACAGACAGGGAGTCCTGAGCCTGTCACCAGTCACTCTGCCATTCAGATGATAGCATTAAGAAAAATGCAATGATTCTGCCATCATGGTAGCAATGGGCAGAACCGCCACCACCACAAAATGGTTGGTCACTTTCAAGTCCCAATTCTGGCAATCTAAGCCAAAAAAGGGGGCTAGAATTCAAGAAAAATACAGCGCAAAGTCATTAAAGTGACAATTTTAAAGAAAGTTTACTTTAAAATTATGGTAATCCAATGAAAAATCGAGTTCCATTTTTTTCCAAATTACAGCATTCTTGAGGCCTGACAAAACAGCCCTGCCCCGAGTATCTTAGCTCTGGCCTTCAACTCTCGATTCCTGTTTTAAACTGAAGCCTATCTTAAGGAACTTGTTCTTTTACAGTACGTATTTCCTAGGAGTTAAAAACAAATTCAGATCAAGCCTGTTCTCTAAACCCTACCATCTGATAAAAACAATGTAAGTTAGTAGATATAAAAACAGATAAGAAATAGTATTAGTTAAGATCAACAAGAGCCTGAAAAGTAGCAGAACCATTCTATTCCACAACCATCTCCTCCATAAATCTTAATAAATCTGTGTGAATAATTACAGACACCTCACGTAAAACTTTACT